CTCTCCTCCTCCACTGAGCCCCTCGTGCTCCTCCGAATCACTTGCTCGCACGCCCCTTGCGACCCTCTCCTTGCTGTGCCTGCCTGCGCAAGGGCGGCAAGACGAAGGAAAAGATCGCGCGCGTGTCCGAGTGCGAGATCGAACTGTTCGAGAGGGACCTCATCCTCGAGTTCCGCGGTTCGAAGCTCGAGAGGCGCCGGGTCAACACGGACGCGGAGGGAGGGTGGATGAGGAACAGCATGACAAAGAGGAGGAGGAGCAGGAGGAGGAGGAGGAGGAGAACCGGCAGCGGGGTGTCAAGAGTCCAAAGTCAGTGATGAAAGTGGAGAAGGAGAATGCGGAGGGGGAGGAGCAGGAGGAGAAGGAGCAGGAGCAGGAGCAGGAGCAGGAGCTGTAGCAGGAGAAGGGAAGAGATGAAGGAGGAGGAAGAACAGGAGGAAGAGGATCAGGAAGAGGGAGAAGCGCGATAAGGAAGGATATGAATCAGTTGGGAGCGTCTCTTCCCCTTTGTTCCGCTCACCCCCGCCTCGTCTCCCTGTTTCGTCGTCCTCCTCCTCTTGCCCTGCTCACCCACCTCCCCCTCCCGTTTCTCTTATCGCTTTCTCTCTCGCTCTCTCTCTCTCTCTCATTCTCTCATTCTCTCATTCTCTCTCTCTCTCCGTAGTCTCGGCTCGAGAGGTCTGCTCGGAACGAGCCCAGACGCCAACCGCCCCCCATTTTTCCAGGCTCGCCAGATCAGGCACGACCCCAGGTCGTGACAGATTGGCGTCGCATCCCATTGCATGTTCCTGCGCGCGCGCCGCAATGGTTTCAGAGAGCCCTCGCCGTGCGCTTCATATACCGCCGTTGCCCAAGCCACCTGGTAAGGGCCGCTCAATGAAAACCTCGTCGCGCCGGCAAGATGCCAACTTCAGCCAGAAAGAAGCCTGTGCCTCCACACTCCAGAGCAGTGCTGACGCCGACCGAACAGCTGCTGCTTGCAGCGCACTTGCTCACAAGCACCAGTGAGACCTTTACCACATGTGCCGACAAAGCTGCTCCGACCAGCGTAAGGTTAGAGGTGAATTGATGGAACGGTGCGGCGGGCAGCTCAGGCACACCATGGCAACTCAGCTACCCAAGCTGTGCCATTCTCAGATTCTCAGCAGCACACGACGGGGGGCACCAGCAGTGACCCAGCAGGGTCCACGGCCTCGGCCGACGCCCACCAAGGCAACGGCACCGCCCCTCTCGTCAGCAGTGATGCACCAAATTGGGACGTGCCGATCGCACCTGCACTTTTCACAGGGCCGATCACGGGACCGCGCATGCCAGCAGAGTCCACCAACACCCCACCAGGGCCAGAACGTCGACCGAGGATTCTTGGAATGGCGTGGTCATCTACCTGCCCGGTGCCTCGGAAAGAAGGAATTGTCACCAGAGGGTTGTGGACGAAACATTGCAGCCGCCGCCAAACCTTACGGGTACACCCACCAGGTTGGAGCCCAGCGCGAACTCAGGCGAGCCCACTGAGACATTCGCGGCGCGGCAGCTCGCTATGGCCACCAGGACCGAAACATTGTCTGACCCCACAGGCCCAGTCCCAGTTCCCGTGCTTCCGTGTACCCAGGAGGGCAACGAGTTTCCCCAAACGCGGCCAACGCGGCACCGTCATCGGAAACGGAGTGAGGGGGCTGAACCGAACGGTCGTTCACTGTCCCTGGGTGCGTGGCTGAAGTGGAATTCTGCAATGCGGATTCTTGTTGCTGTTTGTTGTCGTCGTTCCACCCGCAACCCGCCCGCGACCCACCCGCGACCCACCCCGCGACCCACCCGCGACCCACCCCGAGACCCACCCCGCGACCAACCCGTGACCCACCCCGCGACCCACCCGCGACCCACCCGCGACCCACCCGCGACCCACCCGCGACCCACCACGCGACCCGCCCGCGACCCACCCCGAGACACCCCCGGCGACCCACCCGCGACCCACCCGCGACCAACCCGCGACCCACCCCGCGACCCACCCGCGACCCACCCCGCGACCCACCCAAAATTTTCGGCGCTTGCGGCGGGTTTCTTCTGCATTCGTTCCAGGTGGACCATCTGCGACCCAAACCGCGTTCAATGTATAAATCAGAATGTTCGGCGCCTGTGGCGGGCTTTTTGTTGAATTTCTTCCAGGTGGAGGTGGGGAGCCCGCGACCCATCCGCGTTCTAAACTACGTTCACTGAACAAGCCAAAAATTCGGCGCCTGCGGCGGGCTGTTTTTGCATTCGGTCCGGGTGGCCCACCAGCGATCCCCCCCGCGCTGAACTTGTCAGAGCACGCAAATCCGCGCCTGCGGCGGGTTTGCTCGCATTGGTTTGGGAAAGCGCCCTCGTGCCATTCCCCCGATCCAGCCCACGTTGACTGTACAACAGCACATCGGCGCTTGCGGCGGGGCTGTGTGTGATCACGTTTATTGACAATCCAGCTGCCTGTTGCACTTCGGCATCCGTGCCCAAAGCCTAGGTTCAGGGGAAGCTGCTTCAAGGCGGCCACAATTACGGGGCATCGGGACGTTAGGGGACCCTCCTGAGGGGGCCTCGGGGCGCTAAGGGTCACTCTTGAGGCGGAGGAGGAGGAGGAGGAGAAAGAGGAGGAGGAGGAGGAGGAGGAGGAGGAGGAGGAGAAGGAGGAAGAGGAGGAGGAGGAGGAGGGAGAGGAGGAGGAGGAGGAAGAGGAGGAAGAGGAGGAGGTGGAGGAGCATGATGATGATGATGATGATGATGATGATGATGATGATGATGATGATGATGATGAGATGATGATGATGATGATGATGATGATGATGATGATGATGATGATGATGAGGATGAGGATGAGGATGGATGAGGATGAGGATGAGGATGAGGATGAGGATGAGGATGAGGATGAGGATGAGGATGAGGATGAGGATGATGATGATGATGATGATGATGATGCTGCTGCTGATGATGATGATGAGGAGGAGGAGGAGGAGGAGGAAGAAAAGGAGGACGCCATCGACAGGGAAGGTGAGGGCCACGAGGTCCGCCGGCTCGACGTCCGCGTCGCGCGCGCCCGCACCCTCACGTTTATCCGCAACTGCGGGGTGCTATAAGGGACCAAAACCAGTATTTGCTGCTATCGTTGACCAGCGGCAACTCTGTCGCCCTGACCATTTCAAGTCTGATCCTTCGCTCCCACCGCCCGTCGGTGAGGGGCAACACTGCTTCAGCGTCAGTGCGCAGGCCAGCTGAGATGAAAAACTTGCCGCGGGCGGGACCCACGGTGGAGAGGCCAGGTCCACTTGCGCTCACGCGAGAAACCGCGCTGGGCCTGAGTGTGAACGTCGAGTGCCACCAAGAGCACCAGCGACTGCGGCGCCGACAGGGCCCGCAGATTCCTTGAAGTTCCGGTCGCGGCAGGGGAAACGCTTCAACAAGTTCTGCAAACACCGATGCGGACGGCAAGCCCTCGTCCGGTCGCCCCTCCCTTGGATATCGGATGGCGACGCGGAGGACGCCCAGCGAGAGCGCGCCAGCACGACCTTTCGCGAGCTCTTTGGCCGTGCCCCTGCGGACGGGACTCGCTTGTCCCTTGGCCCCAACTTTCTCTTCTTACGCAACTGCGACAGGAGCGCCGGGATCGCCCATCCAAACAAGTGGGAGCGATATGCAGCACGGTGCCTGTTTTGTTACCTACCGTGATGGGGCGATCGACGGTCTTACCGCCCCTCGTTTCGTACGTTTCTTTCGAATCTCTGGACCGCACTCCGCCGAGCATCGCGCCAGTCAGATCCTCATTGTTCTCGCCGCCATGGTCGCGGCCATCCCGCCAGAGCTTGCGCCCGCGACTTTTCACGAGCAACGCAATGAGCACCAAGTCTGAGTGGACCACGTGCAGTGCCAGGCACTTGGCCCTGCCCATCACAACGGAATCGAGCACCACCAGCACGGACATCCTGACAGTGCTCAGCACGCCAGAGAGAGTAACAACCTGACCTCGACGCCCACCAGCGGGATGAGCATTACCTCGAGTATCGCTTTGTCAAGCTGCAGGACAGAATCAGCAGTGGGCCGCTGAGCAGCATTTCGGAAAGCACCAGCTCTGCACTGACGCGCATGGGTGAGATGAGCATTGCCTGGAGTACCACGTCGCCCAGCCACGCAACGACAACCAACATGTCGATGATGAACAGAACGTCGGGCAGCGGCAGGCCGATCCGAACGCCCACGACGAACACTGCCTCAAGTACCGTGTCGCTGAGCACCATGGCTGGTACCTGCGGCGCATCGTTGATGAGACCCCGGGGAGCAGCAGCCCGACCCTGACCCCCAAGAGCGGGGCGAGCGCAGCTTCGGATGCTGCTACGTCGCTGAAAGCATGACAAAGACGAACACAAAACCTCGACCTGCCGCTGCTTGCCGGATGGCAGCAGCTTGACCCTGGCGCTCACGGGAGGCATGGCGTCCTCGTCGAATGCCGCGTTTTTGGCAGCCACGGCGGGAACTGATAACGCGACGGGAGATAGCACCCCAACGTTGAGTTGCACGTCGGCGAGCTCCAGCTCGGCTCTGACATTCGCGTATGGGACGAGTGTTGTCTCAAGTGCCATGCCACTGACCATTCCGACGGGCGCTGGCCGCGCATCGTTCGGCTGCGCGTCGGAGAGCAGCGCCTCGACCATGACGTCTAAGAGGTGGGCGAGCACTGCCCCCGGCACCACGCCGATGACCACCGCGACGGGCACTGGCATAGCGACGCAGAGCAGCACGCCGGGGAGCAGGGGCTCCACCCCGACGTTTTCGGGTGGGACGAGTGCTGCCTCGAGTGCCGCGCGACGGATACTGGCATCTCGACCTGCAACAGCTGCGCGTCGGAGAGCAGCAGCTCTGCCGCGACGACTGGCCAGCGCCGTCTCGACCGCTGCGTGGCTGACCCTCGCGACGGGTGCCAGCTGCGCATCGCTGGGCAGCGCGGAGTGGAATAGCAGCTCTACACAGACTTCCGCATGCGGGATGATTGCGCCAAATACCACGCCGCCGAACAGAACGATTGGACACAGCACCTCAACGTGGAACCGCACGTCGACAGTCCGGATATGGGCCCAGACGCCCACGGGGGCGGGCGCCGTCTTGAGCGCCGCGTCGTTGAACACCGCGTTGGGCCCCAGCGCTGCGCCCTTTAGCAGCGCGTCGGCGAGAACCAGAATGAACCTGACCTGCGCCGCGTCGCCGCGCAGCGCGGCGGGCGCCAGCGCCTCGAGATTGAGCTGCGCGTCGGAGAGTCGCGCGTCGAGCGTGGCGATCGCCCCCTCCAGTACCGCGTCGTTGACCGCGACCTCGGAGCACGACTGCGAGCGGCATCAGCCAGCTGCTCCTCGGAGAGCAGCGCCGCAATCTCGACGCCCAGGAGATGGGGCATCTACTGCCCTGAGCACGACGATGTGGCCTGCCGCAACGCGCGCTGGCATCTCGACATTGATCACCGCGCGGCAGAAACAGCAGGTCGATACAGACGCGCCACGCTCTCGCGCGCCACGTCGCCAGCTGGCGCGACGGCGACCAGTGGCGCACTATTTCGCAGCACGTCGGACAGCATTCGCTCGGCCCCGGCGCGCGCCAGCGGGGCGAGCGCTGCCTCGGGCGCGATGTCCCTGAGCAGCGCGACGGACGATGGCACCCCGACGTCAAGGAGCATTGCGGAGAGTGGCGGCTGATCCCCGACGCCCACGCGCGGGGCGAGCAACGCCTCAAGCGCCGCGTCCTCGACCCGACACCCGCGCGCGGGATGGGCGCTGTTTCGAATGCCATATCGCAGAGCACCGCGACTGGCACCAGTAGCACAACGCTACGCGGCGCGTCGCAGAGCGCTTGTTCTACCCCGACGCCCGCGAGCGCGGCGAGCCCCGCCTCGAGCATCGCGCTGCTAATCAGTACAAGCGCCACGGGATATAACATCTCAATATCGAGAAGCACGCCGCAGAGCAGCATCTCGACACTAACGTCCACGAGTTGGACGCATGCGGCCGCGGGGGCCGCGTCGCCGACCACCGCGACGGGCGCCCGCAGAGCATCGCGGAGCAGCGCGTCCAAGAGCAGCGGCTTGACCCCAGCGAAAACGAGCGGGGCGAGTGCTCCGAGAATTGCGTCGCTGAGCCGCGCCGCGGGCATTTGCGTCTCGCGTCGAGCAGCGCGCCGGTGATCGCCGCGTCAACCTCGGCGACCGCACGTGGGACGAGCGCTGTCTCCAGTGCCTTGCCTTCGACCGCCAAGGCGGCGCATCGTTGAGCTGCGCGTCGGAGAGACATGCGTCGGCCCCGACGTGCGCGGGGGGGGCCAGCGCTGCCTTCAGTGCCGCGTCGTTGACCCACGACTTGAGTGCATAATCGCCGGCGACCGCGAGGGGCGCCAGCAGCGCGCCGCCGAGTTGCGCGCCGGCGAGCGCCAGCTCGAGACGCGCGCCAGCGGGGCGAGCGCTGCCCGCTGCATCACGTCGCTGGGCTAGGCGAAGAGCGCCACCGCATCGACGTCGAGCAGCATGTCTTTGGCCACCGCGGCGGGCGACAACGGCGCAGCGCCTGGACAGCCCGACTGCGGGCGCCAGCGCGCCGACGTGCACTGTGGGGGCGGGCAGCGACGCGAGCATCGCGTCGCTGAGCAACGCGACGGACGCGCGCATCTCGACGTGGACCAGCAGCGAGTCACAGTGCACTAGGTCAACCCTGACGTCCACGAGCGGTAGGGGCATTGTCTCGAGTGCGAAGTCGCATGCCATCGCCGCGGGTGCCAGCGGCACTTGATTAAGCAGCATGTTGGTTGGCATGGTGGGTTTGGGCCCCTGTTTCCCCCGCCCCCCTGCCCGGGCCCCTTGGCCCCCTTGGCTTCTTACTCCGTATTGGCCCGCTGGGCGTAGGATGCGCGAATCCATTTACTGTCGCGGGCCGCGTCGCCGCGCCGGCCCACGAGGGCGACGCGAGCATTGGCGAGCACGTCGAAGAGCACCTGCTCGAGTCCGACGCGCACCAGTAAAACGAGCAGCGCGTCGAGCACCGCGCCGCGGAGCTACGCGACGGGCGCCGGCAAAGCAGCGCCGCGCAGCGCGTCAGGGCGCGCGTGCTCGACCTTGACGAGCGCCGCCTCGCGCGTCGCGTCGCCGATCGCGACTGGCGACAGCAGCGCGCCGTTACAAAGCCCGGCGGCGAGGACCAGCGCGGCCGCGGCGTGCGCCAGCGGGGCGGGCGCTGCCTCGAGCGCCACTCGCTGAACTGCGCGACGGGCACTCGCAGTCGGCAGTTGAGCAGCGCGTCGCTGACCGTCCCGGCGGAGGCAGGAGCGCATCGCTTGACAGCGCGACTGGGGGCGCCAGCGCCCCGACGTGCGCCGGTGGGACGGGGGCAATTGCGAGCATTGCGCCGCATCGTTGAGCATTACGCGGGCACCGCAATCTCGACGCTGATCAGCAGTCAGCAGCAGCTCTACCCTGGCGTCATCGAGCGGGGCGAGTTCTGTCTCGAGTACCATTCATCTTTCCGTCAACACGGTCACCAGCTGCAAATAATTTTGCAGCACGTGTCGGAACAGCAGGTCGCTCTTGACGCTCATGCGCGGGACGACTACTGCAGCGAGCGTCACGTCGCGGGGCATCGCGACGGGAATTAGCACCCCGAAGCAGAGCAGCACGTCGGGAAGCAGCAGGTTGACTATTTTGGCCTCGCGCGTGACGAGCACCGCCTTGGGGGCTACCCCGCTGGCCGCCACCGCAGGCGCCAGCGGCGCACCGTTGAGTCGCGTGCTGGCGAGCACCAGCTTTGCCCTGGCGTGCGCTGGCAGGGCGAGCACTGCCACGAGCACCACGTCGCTTAGCTGTGCGACGGGCACTCATATCCTCACGTTGAGCAGCGCGCTGCTGGCCGCCACGGCAGGCACCAACAGCGCATCGCTGAGCAGTCCGATTGGGAGCACCCTCGCCGTGACGCGCACCCAACTTGTTTGGAGTACCGCACCGCTGAGCTCCGCGACTGGCACGGGCATCTCGACGATGAGCACCGCGCCGGGGAGCTGCGGCTCGACCCCCAATCCACGGCTGGGACGCATATTGTTTCGAGTGCCGCGTCGCTGACCACCACGACGGGCACCAGTTGCGCATCATCGTCGAGCGCGACCTGGAGCAGCAGATCGACCCTGACGGCCATGAGTGGGACGAGAGTACCGCTTCGAGTGCTGCCTCGATCGCTAATGGGTCCATGGTCCAGTACTCCCGCGATCCGCATTGGCCGGCTGAGAGTGGGATGCGCGCATCCGTTTATTTGCATGAGCCGCACTGGCCGATTGGAGTGGATGCGAGCTGTGCCTTATTTCCACGAGACGCATTGGCCCACAGGGGTGGAATGCGGGCCCCCCCGTATTGCGAAGGCCTTACGGCCAGTGCAGCCGACCCTGAGAACGACGAAGATGAAAACGAGGGGGGCAGGGGGAGGAGGATGAATTGGAGGTGGAGGAAGGGTGGGGGAGGTGGACAAGGGAGGAGGAGGGGGGAGAAGGATGTGAAGGAAAAGCAAGAGGAGGACAAGGAGGCAGAGGAGAGCAGGAGGAGGGGGAGCAGAGGGGGAGGAGGAGGAGGAGGAGGAGGAGGAGGAGGAGGAGGAGGAGGAGGAGGAGGAGGAGGAGGCGGAGGAAGAGGAGGAGGAGGAGGGGGAGCAGGAGGAGGCGGAGGAGGAGGAGGAGGAGGAGGAGGAGGCCAGAGGCTTTCTTGGGACAGCCTGGGGCTCTCTTGAGGCCGTCATGGGCCGTCCAGGGCTCTTCTTGCGCTGTCTCGGTCTCGAGGCACTCTTGGAGGCCTCCTGGGCAATTCGGGGCTCTCCTGGGCTGTCTTGGGGCAATATTTGGGGCCTCTCGGGCCGTCTTGGAGGCGTCTTGGGCCGTCTTTGGACCCTCTTCGGCCGTTAAGGGGCCCTCTTGGGGGGCGCCTCTTGGGCTGTCTCGGGGCGATCTTTGGGGCATCTTGGGCCGTCTTGGCGCGTCGGGAAGCGGAAAAGGCAAGACCGCCAACATTTGTTTAACACGTATGGGAAATCCATGAAGTTTGCCTCTTGGGGCGTTCGTGGGAAAGCTCCTGGAGGCCTCTTGGGGCGCTTTGCAGGCCTCTTGGGTCGTCTGGAGGCCGTCAAGGCGTCTTGGACAGATCGTTCGGCGATTCGGGGTTCTCTTGGACTGTCTTTGTGGCCTCTTGGGGCACTCTTGGCCCGTCTTGGGTTTGAGACTCCCGGGGAGGGCGTCGTATCTGACCCCCCCCCGGGACCCCCCCCCCGGCGGGGAAGGGATCGAAGGGAAGGGGCTTTTTTTTTCGACTCAGTTACGACGTTGCTCAACTTCGCTTTGGTTGGCGCGCTGAGGAGGTCCCTGGAAAAGAGGGGTGCTTCGACGAGCCCAGGGAAAGGGGGAGGCAGGGAAAGGGGGCGACAGAGACGCCGACCAACGACTGACGGAGATGACGACTTGAACGGACGGAGATGACGACTTGAACGGACAAGCCCCTCACACACGCCGATAGGGCCGGCGGGCTTTCACAAGCCGTATTGGCCCGTTGGGGGTGGGATGCGAGCTTAGTGCAGCCCGTCGGCGAGCACCTGCTCGACTCGACGTGCAAAGAGCATAGACCGACTGGATCGCCCCTATTCAGGCCCGCTTGCCAGCTCGCCCTGGGCCGTCTCCCAGTGCGAGCTACCAGGCGCGTCCCGATGCTTACCAGTAGCACGCCAGTGTTACCATCCCGCACGCGCCAACGCGCGTGTCAAAGGCGGCGCGATTGCCACGGGTGCGCAGACGGGCTCTTGAGCGGCCAGATCCCAGCATGCCCGCTTTAACATTCCAGCCGGGGCCCCTTCTGCGCCGCAACAGGGGGGGGGTCATCCCACCACCCGTGTTCCGTCAGCGGCATGTCCCGCCTTGTGAGGTAGGCCTGCAGGGCGCTTGTGCCTTCGGGGCCTGGACCGCATTCAGCTGCTCCTCGGAGAGCAGCGCCGCAATCCCGACGCCCAGGAGATGGGGCATCTACTGCCCTGAGCACGACGATGTGGCCTGCCGCAACGCGCGCTGGCATCTCGACATTGATCACCGCGCGGCAGAAACAGCAGGTCGATACAGACGCGCCACGCTCTCGCGCGCCACGTCGCCAGCTGGCGCGACGGCGACCAGTGGCGCACTATTTCGCAGCACGTCGGACAGCATTCGCTCGGCCCCGGCGCGCGCCAGCGGGGCGAGCGCTGCCTCGGGCGCGATGTCCCTGGGCAGCGCGACGGACGATGGCGCCCCGACGTCGAGGAGCATTGCGGAGAGTGGCGGCTGATCCCCGACGCCCACGCGCGGGGCGAGCAACGCCTCAAGCGCCGCGTCCTCGACCCGACACCCGCGCGCGGGATGGGCGCTGTTTCGAATGCCATATCGCAGAGCACCGCGACTGGCACCAGTAGCACAACGCTACGCGGCGCGTCGCAGAGCGCTTGTTCTACCCCGACGCCGGCGAGCGCGGCGAGCCCCGCCTCGAGCATCGCGCTGCTAATCAGCACAAGCGCCACGGGATATAACATCTCAATATCGAGAAGCACGCCGCAGAGCAGCATCTCGACACTAACGTCCACGAGTTGGACGCATGCGGCCGCGGGGACCACGTCGCCGACCACCGCGACGTGCACCCGCAGAGCATCGCGGAGCAGCGCGTCCAAGAGCAGCGGCTTGACCCCAGCGAAAGCGAGCGGGGCGAGTGCTCCGAGAATTGCGTCGCTGAGCCGCGCCGCGGGCATTTGCGTCTCGCGTCGAGCAGCGCGCCGGTGATCGCCGCGTCAACCTCGGCGACCGCGCGTGGGACGAGCGCTGTCTCCAGTGCCTTGCCTTCGACTGCCAAGGCGGCGCATCGTTGAGCTGCGCGTCGGAGAGACATGCGTCGGCCCCGACGTGCGCGGGGGGGGCCAGTGCTGCCTTCAGTGCCGCGTCGTTGACCAACGACTTGAGTGCATAATCGCCGGCGACCGCGAGGGGCGCCAGCAGCGCGCCGCCGAGTTGCGCGCCGGCGAGCGCCAGCTCGAGACGTGCGCCAGCGGGGCGAGCGCTGCCCGCAGCATCGCGTCGCTGGGCCAGGCGAAGAGCGCCACCGCACCCACGTCGAGCAGCATGTCTTTGGCCACCGCGGCGGGCGACAACGGCGCAGCGCCTGGACAGCCCGACTAGGGGCGCCAGCGCGCCGACGTGCACTGTGGGGGCGGGCAGCGACGCGAGCATCGCGTCGCTGAGCAACGCGACGGACGCGCGCATCTCGACGTGGACCAGCAGCGAGTCACAGTGCAGCAGGTCAACCCTGACGTCCACGAGCGGTAGGAGCATTGTCTCGAGTGCGAATTCGCATGCCATCGCCGCGGGTGCCAGCGGCACTTGATTAAGCAGCATCATTGGTTGGCATGGTGGGTTTGGGCCCCTGTTTCCCCCGCCCCCCTGCCCGGGCCCCTTGGCCCCCTTGGCTTCGTGCTCCGCATTGGCCCGCTGGGCGTGGGATGCGCGAATCCATTTACTGTCGCGGGCCGCGTCGCCGCGCCGGCCCACGAGGGCGACGCGAGCATTGGCGAGCACGTCGAAGAGCACCTGCTCGAGTCCGACGCGCACCAGTAAAACGAGCAGCGCGTCGAGCACCGCGCCGCGGAGCTACGCGACGGGCGCCGGCAAAGCAGCGCCGCGCAGCGCGTCAGGGCGCGCGTGCTCGACCTTGACGAGCGCCGCCTCGCGCGTCGCGTCGCCGATCGCGACTGGCGACAGCAGCGCGCCGTTAGAAAGCCCGGCGGCGAGGGCCAGCTTGACCGCGGCGCGCGCCAGCGGGGCGGGCGCTGCCTCGAGCGCCACTCGCTGAACTGCGCGACGGGCACTCGCAGTCGGCAGTTGAGCAGCGCGTCGCTGACCGTCCCGGCGGAGGCAGGAGCGCATCGCTAGACAGCGCGACTGGGGGCGCCAGCGCCCCGACGTGCGCCGGTGGGGCGGGGGCAATTGCGAGCATTGCGCCGCATCGTTGAGCATTACGCGGGCACCGCAATCTCGACGCTGATCAGCAGTCAGCAGCAGCTCTACCCTGGCGTTATCGAGCGGGGCGAGTTCTGTCTCGAGTACCATGCATCTTTCCGTCAACACGTCACCAGCTGCAAATAATTTTGCAGCACGTGTCGGAACAGCAGGTCGCTCTTGACGCTCATGCGCGGGACGACTACTGCAGCGAGCGTCACGTCGCGGGGCATCGCGACGGGAATTAGCACCCCGAAGCAGAGCAGCACGTCGGGAAGCAGTAGGTTGACTATTTTGGCCTCGCGCGTGACGAGCACCGCCTTGGGGGCTACCCCGCTGGCCGCCACCGCAGGCGCCAGCGGCGCACCGTTGAGTCGCGTGCTGGCGAGCACCAGCTTTGCCCTGGCGTGCGCTGGCAGGGCGAGCACTGCCACGAGCACCACGCCGCTTAGCTGTGCGACGGGCACTCATATCCTCACGTTGAGCAGCGCGCTGCTGGCCGCCACGGCAGGCACCAACAGTGCATCGCTGAGCAGTCCGATTGGGAGCACCCTCGCCGTGACGCGCACCCAACTTGTTTGAGCACCGCACCGCTGAGCTCCGCGACTGGCACGGGTACCTCGACGTTGAGCACCGCGCCGGGGAGCTGCGGCTCGACCCCCAATCCACGGCTGGGACGCATATTGTTTCGAGTGCCGCGTCGCTGACCACCACGACGGGCACCAGTTGCGCACCATCGTCGAGCGCGACCTGGAGCAGCAGATCGACCCTGACGGCCATGAGTGGGACGAGAGTACCGCTTCGAGTGCTGCCTCGATCGCTAATGGGTCCATGGTCCAGTACTCCCGCGATCCGCATTGGCCGGCTGAGGGTGGGATGCGTGCATCCGTTTACATGCATGAGCCGCACTGGCCGATTGGAGTGGATGCGAGTTGTGCCTTATTTCCACGAGCCGCATTGGCCCACAGGGGTGGAATGCGGGCCCCCCCCGTATTGCGAAGGCCTTACGGCCAGTGCAGCCGACCCTGAGAACGACGAAGATGAAAACGAGGGGGGCAGGGGGAGGAGGATGAATTGGATGTGGAGGAAGGGTGGGGGAGGTGGATAAGGGAGGAGGAGGGGGGAGAAGGATGTGAAGGAAAACCAAGAGGAGGACAAGGAGGCAGAGGAGAGCAGGAGGAGGGGGAGCATAGGGGGGGGGAGGAGGAGGAGGAGGAGGAGGAGGAGGAGGAGGAGGAGGAGGAGGAGGAGGAGGCGGAGGAAGAGGAGGAGGAGGAGGGGGAGCAGGAGGAGGCGGAGGAGGAGGAGGAGGAGGAGGAGGAGGCCAGAGGCTTTCTTGGGACAGCCTGGGGCTCTCTTGAGGCCGTCATGGGCCGTCCAGGGCTCTTCTTGCGCCGTCTCGAGGCACTCTTGGAGGCCTCCTGGGCAATTCGGGGCTCTCCTGGGCTGTCTTGGGGCAATATTGGGGGCCTCTCGGGCCGTCTTGGAGGCGTCTTGGGCCGTCTTTGGACCCTCTTCGGCCGTTAAGGGGCCCTCTTGGGGGGCGCCTCTTGGGCTGTCTCGGGGCGATCTTTGGGGCATCTTGGGCCGTCTTGGCGCGTCGGGAAGCGGAAAAGGCAAGACCGCCAACATTTGTTTAACACGTATGGGAAATCCATGAAGTTTGCCTCTTGGGGCGTTCGTGGGAAAGCTCCTGGAGGCCTCTTGGGGCGCTTTGCAGGCCTCTTGGGTCGTCTGGAGGCCGTCAAGGCGTCTTGGACAGATCGTTCGGCGATTCGGGGTTCTCTTGGACTGTCTTTGTGGCCTCTTGGGGCACTCTTGGCCCGTCTTGGGTTTGAGACTCCCGGGGAGGGCGTCGTATCTGACCCCCCCCCGGGACCCCCCCCCCGGCGGGGAAGGGATCGAAGGGAAGGGGCTTTTTTTTTCGACTCAGTTACGACGTTGCTCAACTTCGCTTTGGTTGGCGCGCTGAGGAGGTCCCTGGAAAAGAGGGGTGCTTCGACGAGCCCAGGGAAAGGGGGAGGCAGGGAAAGGGGACGACAGAGACGCCGACCAACGACTGACGGAGATGACGACTTGAACGGACGGAGATGACGACTTGAACGGACAAGCCCCTCACACACGCCGATAGGGCCGGCGGATTTTCACAAGCCGTATTGGCCCGTTGGGGGTGGGATGCGAGCTTAGTGCAGCCCGTCGGCGAGCACCTGCTCGACTCGACGTGCAAAGAGCATAGACTGGTTGGATCGCCCCTATTCAGGCCCGTTTGCCAGCTCGCCCTGGGTCGTCCCCCAATGCGAGCTACCAGGCGCGTCCCGATGCTTACCAGTAGCACGCCAGTGTTACCATCCCGCACGCGCCAACGCGCGTGTCAAAGGCGGCGCGATTGCCACGGGTGCGCAGACGGGCTCTTGAGCGGCCAGATCCCAGCATGCCCGCTTTAACATTCCAGCCGGGGCCCCTTCTGCGCCGCAACGGGGGGGGGGTCATCCCACCACCCGTGTTTCGTCAGCGGCATGTCCCGCCTTGTGAGGTAGGCCTGCAGGGCGCTTGTGCCTTCGGGGCCTGGACGAACCCTCGTCCGAATTGGCGCGTATCTCTTTCTCTCTCTCCCTCTCTTACTCCCCTTTATGCCCCACCTGCCCCTTGCCCTCCTTACTCCTCCTTCACCCACCTGCCCCTCCTACTTCTCATTATCTTCTCTTTCTCCTCCCTCCTCCTCGTCCTCCTCCTCCTTTTCCTCCTCCTCCTTCTCCTCCTCCTCCTCCTCGTCCTCGTCGTCCTCAATTTCCCCTCCTCCTCCTCCTCCTCCTCCTCCTCCTCCTCCTCCTCGTCTTGTTGCGGGGACGATCTGCATGAACCCGTTCGTGAGGAACCTCAACCAGATCTCTTCCCGCTTTGCTTCGACGCAGCTGCGAACAACAAATGAGGAGCCTAGTTGAGGCCGCCCGTAACTGTTGCCCCGCCGTCGCGGCTAGCCCCGTGCCTCCCTTTCCCCCGTTTGGGCGCCCTTCTTTCTGTTCGGATGCCATCACGTTCACCTCGTTTCTTCCGTTGTCACCTATCCCCTCTTTTCTGGTGTTTCCTAACGAAGATGATTTGCAATCTAGCGCCGTGCTCACAGCAGCGCTCGCCTCACATCCTCCAGGATGGCCCTAGTGTTTCTTCGGATACACGCGGTGCTCTCAGGTGCTGGGGCTCCTCCTTCTTCTTCTCTTCCTCTTCCTCCTCCTCCACCACCTCATCCTTCTCCTCCTCCTCCTCCTCCTCCTCCTCCCTCCTCGCTCTCCCCTACGTATGTGTCGGCGGCGGCGAAGTCGCGGCTTCCGAGCGCAACAGGCGCCGTGCCAAGAAGTACGCGGAAGGGGTCATGGCCCAGCGCACCGGGCCCGTCCAGATCACGGAGGACGCCGCCTCAGACGTGTTCGCCGTCGTCCTGTCGAGGAAGAGGCGGAGGGCGAGGAGGGTGGGACGGATGAGGAAGGAGAGGGAGCAGTGCGGGCATCAGGAGGAGGAGGGAGGGCATGCCCGTCGTCGTTGTCCGAGATGTTCCCCTCCCCTGTTTGCTCATCCCTCTCCTCGTCTTCCGCCTTTCGGTACCCCTCACCCTCGAAATGCCCATCAGTCTGCACTCTTCCTTCTGCTCTCCCCTTCTCCTCCTCCTCTTTCCCCCTCCCCCTCTCTCCCTCCCCGCCTTCTTCTGCTCTCCCCCCTCGTTCTCGTATCTCATCCCCCCCTTCCCTTGCTGCACATGTGTTTATACTCTACATGGGTCGTCCTCCTCCTGGTCCTCTGCGTGAGCTCCTCGCATTTTTATCCTCTTTCTCCCCCGCACAGAGGACTACGACGACGGCGACCTCACCATGCTGATGGTGCCGCAGGAGGCCGTTGGTTTCGTCACGGGTCGCGCCGGGAACTTCCTGCGTTCCATCGAGGAGGAATGGTGCTTCGGGCGCCCAATGTATCAGGCGTGTTCAGTGAGGTTCGCTTCTCCCACCTCCCCACCCCCCACCCCCCAGCAGACAGGGGAACGTAACGGCGAAGGACGAGGTGAGGAGAAGGTGCAGAAGATGACGGACGTGGTGCAGGAGAGGGGAGATCATGGAGTAGCAAAGGAGGGACTGAGAGCACCAGCAGGAGGATGGATGGGGCGACGGAGAGTGAGTGAACTGGAGGGAGGAAGAGGAGGCGGGGGGGACGGTGCGGAAAACGAGGGGGAGCGGAGAACGAGGGCGGCATGGTAGCAAGCGTTCTCGGAGCAGGGGGAAGGAGAGGGTTGAAGTCGAGGAGGATAGAGAATCACCTTCTCGTCATTATCTCTGTCTCTTTCTCTCGTCCTTGGCCTCCTTTTGATCCTTCTTCTCCTGCTCATCCTCCTCGTCCTTCCCTTCCTGTTCTCTTTCCTCTCGGCCTCCTAGTTCGTCCTTCCCGTCTCCTATTCCTATTCCCCCCTTTCCATCGCTTTCTTCATCATCCGTATCCGTCATCGCATCATCAAAATCATCCCTACCTTTTCTCATCTCTCCTCCTCTTTCCTCGTTCCCCACGTTTTCCTCATGCTTCCCCCCCTCATCCTCCACTGGTGTTTCCCTCTTCTTTCTCCGCCTCGGCGCACATGCTGCGCCATTCCAGTCGACGCGCACTGTTGTGCTGGGACTGCGCACGGGTGTTCGGTTTGGCCGTTGTCTCACTCACTGCATTTTCGTGCAGCATTGCTCTGCGACAGTGACCACTAGCACGAGGGCCTGGGTAGACGACAGATATTTCGGGCTCAAATGTCCTCCTGCCGCTTACTGCCCCTGACACCACGGTCAGGGGCAGTAAGCGGCAGGAGGGAATCAAGTTAGCTCCCAACAGCGTGATCCTCTGCAATACGACGAGCGACGCCAGGCGCCTCTTCTGAAGTGCTGCGGAAGACGGCACGGAGGTTTTGGCATTGCTGCACATGGGTTGCCTCGGAGTCGATCTCGGAGGTGGGCGACGCGTGGCACGTCCGTCGAGACAGAAGCGGATCAAGAAAGCGGCTGACAGCAACCAGGAGCTTCGACGACATGTTTTCGCGCCCCAGTGCTACACAGCCACACCGAAGGTAGAGTTCCTGGGTCCACAGGCAAGCAGGCAAGGGCAACGTATGCTCACCAAGTTCACGGTGTATACGGCATTCACTTGTTGCAGCTAAACAGGCAGATCGGGCCAGTTTCAGGTGTTTGCGGAAGGTGCCTCAAGAAAATGTTCGACTTGCGTGCGCAAGGGCGAGGGCCTGGAGTCACGCTGCCACAGCTATGTCTACATCAGTGGTTGAGAACTTGGATCGACTCCCTCGACATGCCCAAAGATATTCGACGTGTATGGAGCAGCACAGTTCAGCATATCAAGGACCTTGGTTTCAATGAGAGCGCTCGACATGTACACGGACCCATATCGGCGGTGATAGCCTACATCGTGAATGCAGGTTGGGGCCCCAAGTCGCCGTCGTATTGGTGTCGATCTAGAAAGCTTGAGTTTGAAGCAGTGTATTGGGCATTTCTAGATAGCAGCATTGATTCACAATTCACGGATACAGCCGATGATCTTGACTATTCTGAGCAGGCGTGCAATCAACAACAGCTGGCAGCTGCAGCCAACGAATCTCATTGGAGCGGCTTGCAGTGTTCCCCAAACAGTGCTTGCACTTATGTAGGGGTTCTTGCTTGGTTATGACTTCTCGGGACCAGGAGCGTCTTTTGCGGGCGGTGCCGCCCGTTGGCATCTGGCGCCTCATGCCGGCATCATTCGCACGCCTTTGCGCGAGGGCTGGATGGGCACAATCCGTTTCAAAAAATGCCATCAAGAACCTTGGTATGCGTTTGCGCGCGCAAGTTTTTTGTTGAAGATCCGTCGCAACACGGATATTCAACAAAAAACTTGCGCGCGTGCTCTTGCGAATTCTTAAGACAACCATGTAATTCTACCGGACGGGCTTCCCGCGCGCGCATGTCAAAATCGTTCGAACGCCTTTGCGCGCGTGCCGTCGCGAGAATCCTTCAGCAAAACATGGGACGAAACGCGCGCGCGTTTCTCGTCGCGCGCGCATGCCGAAATCCGTCAAAAACTGGCCGCTTCGTATCAATTTCAAAACCGAACGTCAAAAAAATCTCATGGTTTTGCAACATCAGCATTCGCAACTAACATGCGCTCGCGCCCTTGCGAGCTCTGAAGAGAACCATCGGTTTCTCAACATGCTCGCGAAACTCTGCCAAATCTGCCTCTGGCGCCGCAAGCCGACATCATTCGCACGACCTTGCGCGCGCGCTGGGGGGCACGATCCGCGTCAAAGAATGCCGCGCGGGCCACTCTGGCGAGCCGGCCTCGCGCACATGTCGATGTCTATGCAAAAGTTTCACCACCGACGCGAAGACGCCGTCATCGTCGTCGGCGCGATAAGCATCGGCGCCCGCATTTTCCTCGCCTTCGTCGGTGCGAGCATCTTCAACAGCATCGCTACTATCATCATCGTGCGTACCGTTGTCGGCGTTGCCATGATACCGCGCCCGCCCAAATCGCCGACTCGCAGCGCAGTGCCCGCTAGGATGCGCCCAGCGGTCCTCTCCAACCCGGACCCGTCTGTGGTTCCAAATTAGCTGGCCGCTGCGCGCGCGTGTTTTGGTCGGCGCGGCCGCAGAGATGTACCAGCCAACGCCAAGCATTTATTGCAATCGCCACCGCATGGGTTTGCAGACCAAGTTGCAGGTGGGTGGGTTGGATGTTGGCCAAAACATGGGATGTGTCACTTCGCTTGAGAAAACCAACAGCATGACATATATTGCACTGCGTAAGCTGCAAGAACCAAGTGTATGGGGTCCACGCTGGTTAACCTATTCTTTCAATACCGGCCACATAGGCACCAGTTGATACAATTAATGTTGACGGTCGCTCCTGGTGGTTGCGGGACCAATGCTAGGAAACATGCAGTTGGTTGGTTCCCGTAGCCATTTTGCCAGCGATGTGAGAAAGCAGCAGGGGACATGCGACATTGCGGGTGGCTGTGTGAGGCCAACGGCGATGCGAGGGCCGATCAGGTCACAAGCACGTGTACCCATGCCTTCGGCACGAGGCGAATCGGACAGTTGTATGTGGTACCGAGGACGTATACCACGGCACAGGACCCAGGCACCATCACCATGCAGAGACGAAACGTGGACTGGCGCTGGCACTGGGTGTGAGGAACTGGTGCCTGGATGTCTTCGAGAGGCACGATGCAGAAGCCGTCAGTCACCTTCGGCGATGCTCCGGGAGGACACGACAGCCGATTCCCAGCGTTACAGGGAGAGTTGGCGTCGGCCTCTGTGCCACGATCGGCCCACAGTCACAGGAGACTGGCCCAGGGTGGCCGGCCCAGCGGCAGGGCGACCCCAGACAGTTCCACATGGCGAAGTGCGAGCTCTGGAGATTGCCATACGAGGGTCGGATTGGCCCATGGCTTTCGTCACAGATGAGATCAATAAGATCATATGTTTAACGGATGCTCTGGATGATTGTCACAAATGCGTCGTTGCCGTGGTAGAACCCACTTGTACAGTACGTGGGCTGAGCCGTACAGCTTGTGAGATTTGGTGTGTGAGAAGTGCCTCCACATCTCTCAGCGGATGAAGCCGTGAGGGGGAACATCGCGCCTTGGCTTCCCCACGGTTCATAGTTCACGCTCTGGCCGGGGGAGCTGCCGAGCTCTTTGAAGGTGTGAGAGCCCGTATCGCCGAGGGGGAAGAGAGGGCTGTCTGAGGAGAAGACGTCTTGAGGGCCACGCTGGAGGCCGCTGCGGCTGGGCGCGAGGATGCGAAGGTAGCCTCGCCCGAGTCCGCTGCGGCGGCTTCTTCGGTCCCCGCGCATCCCCCTCCCCACCCTTTGCGGCAGCTGGGTTTAATTTCTCTCACCAGCTGGGTGACTGTTGTTTTGAATGCACCAATTGTCATGACAGTGGCACCCGGCTCACCCTGCACGGATGGCTTGATTCATTCTGTCTCCCGTTAGATCACATCGATGCCATTATCAAATCGGAGACCTAAGGGTGCACGTTGCTTTTAGCTGGGGGTTGGGCTCACGAATCTTGCGCTTTGAGTTGTAGTCACGCGCTCGAGGTCTAGATATGTGGGGCGCGCGGCCATTTCTGCACGATCTACCTAAAAGCGGGCCTCAGGAATGAGCGTCTTGGTTCCCAGCCCCTCGATGCCACCAGGAGGTCGTATTTGGACAGGTTCAGTCTGGGGGAAGGCTCTGAGTGCTGCCGAATAGTCAGCACGTCAGCAAGTCCAATGATAGTTCCTTCACTTCTATCGACATCGCCACGTAGTCATTCCCATTCCTATACCTCCTCCTCCATCCCTTCTCCTCTTCACCTTCCTTCTGCTCCAACCTGCCAAAGAGGCGAAGCCCCGCCCCCGTCATTTCGCAGGTGCACGCTGATGTTTTTCTGCGAGGTCGGCGGCAAGGGCGGCGGCCGCAGCAAGGATCGACCGCCGCCGACGCTGACCGCCGCCGTCGCTCGCGTCGCCTCGTCGTCGTCGTCGTCGGCGGCGGCGGCGTTGGCGTTGGCGTGGTTTCCGCCGCCGCCTTCGTCCTCGTCGGCTTTGGAAGAGTCTTCGGAGTCGTGTCGGTCTCGTCGCCGCCGTCGCTGTCGGCATCGTGGGCGTCGTCGTCGTGCTGTCGTTAACGTCGACGTGGCCTGCCGCGTTGATGGCGTCGTCGTCGTGTTTGTCATCTTCATCCTTCATGTTCTGTCTCGCCCTTCCCCGCTCCCTCATGGAAGCTCCCATCGGCCCTTCCCTCCTTAGCGGGGGACAGTTCGGAGGAGACCGTAGGTGGAGGAAGAAGTCGAAGTGGTGGTGGTGGAGAAGGAGAAGGAGGACTGGGAGGATGACAATCGGTATGAGGGACAGGTTGGAGGAGGAGGAAGAGGAGGAGGAGGAGGCGGAGGAGGCGGAATGAGAAGCTGGATGGAGAGAAGGAGCAGGAGAATTGGGGAAATGAGGAGGGGAAAAAGAGGATGACGATCCCCTCTCATCCCCCTCATCTCTCTCTCTCCTCCTCCTCCTCCTCCTCCTCCTCCTCCTCCTCCTCCCCCGCCCACCCTTCTTCCCCTCCTCCCCCTCCTCATCCTTCTCGTCCTCCTCCTCCTCCTGAATGCCTGAATGCCTGAAGGCAAACATGTCGTACTGACCTTGTCCTTCTTCCCCAAGGCTGGTCGGCCAGGGGGGGTGATCAAACTAGTAAGGTAAACCAGCAGGTAGGCATAAGCCACCGATTCTTCCACAGGAGAGAAGCGTGAGGCGGTGCACACGCATGTATTGTGCCGGCTTAGTGGTGGCATCGCGTGGCCAACCAAGTTGGTTGGGACGCCCTAGCTATCGCCAGGCTAGCTGCATCGGTTGCCACTGGAGCTCGCGGAGAGGAGAGATAGGTGGGCGGTCGTATCTGTGGCTGCACTCGCCAATGCCACGGTTAGCTGCACTTGTAGTAGCGCGGGGCTGCACTGCTGGTCGACAGGCTGGGAAGGTAGAGCGGCGACCTGCTTCTGCGCACAAGATGGGGAAGAGGTGGCGGGCGGCGTGGGGCGGTGCGGCAGCGTGTCCAATCTCGCCCAGGTGGAAGGCGCAAATGCCTATCCCTTATGCCTACTTGCGGTGCTTCTGACAGCGGCCGCCTTGGCCAACGCAAGGACAGCCAGCGTCGATGCGTCCTTCCGTGCCCCGCTCTGATATTCACCCCTCCCTGAATTGCAAGCGGCGTGAGTGGAGGCTGACGGGTGAGGTGAGGAGTTGAGGGACATGGTAGCTACGGCAGGTTGAGCAGACTAACGCCTGCTGGGCGAGCTGGTGATGCAAAGAGTGGAGGTAGACTGAGACGAAAGAGAACAAGGGTGAAAAGAAGTGGGGCATGTTGGCGGGTCTGCTGGATACAGGTCGGCGGTGGCGCGGCCGCGGCCACCCAGCCTTCGCCAGGGCAGCCGGCAGTGAGTTTCTCCTTCGCCCCACCAGAATCCTGCTTCCGCCCACCCGCTCAGCCGCCACACGAGTGGGAAGGGGTAGGTTGGGTGAGGTGAGCCAGAGGAGAGTGAAGGTTGGGTAAGGCCCTCTCAGGACCAGTGCAGAGGAGGCTCTTCGTGTCGCTACCTCCGAGGCCCCAGCTCGCAGCTGGTGGTTAGGGCCCCCACCAAGGAGGCGCATGAGACAGCTCTATTCACTGGTCGGGTGTGGCTTGCGCACTCGCGATGCGTCGGTGGAGTAGCATACCTGGGTGGGACAGCCACGGTGGGTTTGGAGCCCCGTCTGACCACGGACCCACTGCACAGCATAGCATGTCTGAGGGGTATGCGCCGTAAGTTCCGTGTTGCTGCGTTAGTCGAGAGGGCGTTCGGTGTGAGCCAACCGTTGTTGTGGCTGGGTGTCCAGGGAGTGCGGCTGTGTTGCAGAAGGGCAGTGCCGAGAAAGGGATGTGGAAAGGGGCAGCTGGCCTCACGGGCCCCAGCTTCCAGAGGCATGCCACAGTGGGTCTGGAGCAGTATCGATAAACATATATGCGCATATGTATATATATATATACATATATATATAGACTCGGCGGCCTCTTGGACCGTCTTGAGGGATTCCTTTTAGTGGAGTAAGAAGAGTCAAGCATGCGGGAGGTAGGTGACGCACCGATGGGTCGCCGTTCGACCGGTGCCATTTTGAGACGTAAGCCTCGGTGTTTGTGGGCGACCAGGGGAGAGGCTCCTGATTCACCAGGTTGGTCGGCTGTGCGGGCTGGTAGACCTAAGCGAAAGGCTACCACAGTGTCCCAGGGGGCGTCGATTCGGCTTGACTGACTGTGTCGCTGCTTGCCAGCTGCTGCGATGGCGTCGTGTTTGTACCACCTTGGGTGGTCTTTGAGGCGTCGACAGCTTGCTCAGCAGCGTGGTTCACGTTGTCGTACCCGAGGTATGTCGCGTCCTCGTTGTCGTCGTGGATGGCCTTCATGTCGGCTATCAGCGGTAGGTACTTTCTGTCGCAGGTGTCGCTGCCCGCTGTTTGGATGCTGTCGTTCGCAATCATTGCACCCCATTATCCTGGATGCGGCCCGTCCGTCTGGCTGCTATCAGCGGTGGGTACCTCCTCCTCCTCCTCCTTCTCCTCCTCCTCCTCCTCTTTCTCCTCCTCCTCCTTCTCCTCCTCCTCCTCCTCCTCCTCATGCATCGCCTCATCCTCCTCCTTTTCCGCCTTCTCCTTCTCCTCCTCCGCCTCCTTCTACATGTCCTTCCCCCCGCCGCAAGGAGTACGAGAAGCTCGCCATCTTCGGGGGCGTCCGCGCCAGGCGCGGGGCGGAGCTGAAGGCCATCGTCGTCGCCGCTGTCCTCGTAGTCGATGTCGTCGTCGTGATCGCCGCCGTCGTCGTCAACGTCAACGTCGTCGTCGTCGTCGTCATCTTCGTCTTCGTCGCCGTCGTCGTCGGCACTGTACTCGTCGTAGTTGTCGCCTTCGTCGCCTTAGTCGTCGCCGCCGCCGCCGCCGTCGCCGCGACGCCGTCGCCGTCGTCGTCGTTGTCGTCAACGTCGATGTCGTTGCAGATATCGTTGTCGTCGGATGAGGAGTGTGGAGAGAGTGAAACGTTGGAGGAGGAGGAGGAGGAGGTGGAGGAGGAGGTGGAGGAGGACGAGGAAGTGGCGCGGGAGGTGGAAGGGGATAGGGACGGAGGGGGGGGTGGGCGGTGTGGGAAAACGAGGACGAGAAACGAATTGAAGATCCTCAGCGCAGTTGGGGCAAAGAGAGGGAGGTTGAGGAGAGGGAAAGGTGGCTGAGAAGGAGTAGGGGAGATGAGGAGGAGGATGAAGGAAGATGTGAAGAGGAGGAGGAGAAGGAGGAGGAGGGGCAGGAGGAGGATGAGTAGCCACGAGCCAGGATCTTGAGGAAGAGGTTGAGGAGGAGGGAGGGCGAGGAGGAGCTAAAGGTCCTCAGCGCAGTGGAGACGAAGGTGCCAGGCTACTTCGCGAAGATCAGGGACGAGGTGGTCGGTCGGGAACCCGTCCTCTCTTCCTCATTGTCCGTCTTTATCATTTCATTTCCCCCTCCTTATTCTCACTTCTTACCACTCCTCTTCCTGCTCCTTATCCTGTATACCCTTTTCTCCTGGCAGTTTGCTCGTATGCACCCACCCCTTTTGCGCATGGCTCCAACACAGGTTTTACAAGGTTGTACCTTTCGTTTATTCAAAATGGTGCATCTGCCGAAGTGCTGGCTACAATTCAAGATCGGTGCACTGCTTCGTCGCTCGGATTGGCGCTCAGGGCGGGCCCCGTTTCTGGATCCGATGTCTTCCTCGTGTTGCCGTTCATTGCCTTCTGTCTTCTGCCTCCCCCTGCTCCTTCTCCTCCCTCTCATCCGCCGTCTCCTCCTCCCACTCCAGTGCGCCAGTGGCCCCGCTTGCAAACTGCAGAAAAACCTCGGGTCGATTCTTGAGACTGCCATTTGGGGATCAAGATGTTACAGCAAACCCCAACCCGCGGCTAGGACAGGCTAGAGATGTTAGGCTTGTCCGTCCTCCCTCCTTGTCCTCGAGGTAATCGACCGCGACAGGAACAAGGACAAGTCCGGCACCTGGGGCACCGACACGATGACCTTCCAGGACGACGAGCTGTCATACGCCCTCGGCAAGCAAGGTGCACACATTTGGGCGTCTTCTCTTCCCCTCTTCCTCCTCCTCCCCCTCTACACCTCTCCTCCTGCCCCTTCCTCCCCCCCCCCCTTCCTTCTCCTTCCCTCCTGCTTCCTTCCCCTCATCCCGCTCCCCGCCATCCCCCTCGCGCCACGTCGCGGTCTTTTCTTGAAGGCGGCACGCGCAAGAAGCTTGAGCGCTCCTCCGGCGCCATCGTGCAGTACGTCGGGCATACGGCGCTCTTCTCGGGCACAAAGCCCGAGCGCCGGCGCGCCAAGGAGTACATGAAGTGGCTGTTCGAGCAGCTCGAGGGGCCGGTTTACGTGGAGGGCTGGGAGAAGCGTGACCCGGGCGGCTGCGGAGTGGCCCCGGCCAGCGGCGGATCTGGGGCCGGCCCTCCTGACGCCTCCTACCAGCCCTCGGAGAAGAGGTTGAAAGGTTGAAGGCAGTCAAGCAGTGGCGGAGCGTCCCGGCTCGCCTATATAGCCCCACCAAGCAATGTTCTAAGAACCTGTTGTATGCACGAAATGTTTTTAGAGCATTTCTGGTTGAGACTGTCTTGGTTTAGCACATCGGGTTAATATTCTAAGAGCATTGGTTTTGTTCTTAGAACGTTTCTGGCTATAGGAATGCCGGGACTGTCGGTCCCTGCTCAAGGCAGGGGTCGGCCCTAGTGCAGTTTCTTTGGCCCCCTTTTGGAACCCTCCAGGTGACGACGTCACCGTGGTGGACGTTCCTTCGGACTGCATCGGCTACATCACGGGCAATCGCCGCGCGGCCATGGGGGCCATGGAGGAGGATTGGTGGGTCCCCTTTCCGCTCCCTGCATCCCCCTCTCCGAATTACCCTAGTAAACCGTCGCGCGGCGGATGCTGCGTGCTGAGGAGTGGGGCGTCCTGATGTTCTTCATGAACAAGCCTGGGGAGGGCAAGGGCAAGAGCAGGCGCCTTGTGTGTCGTTGTCGACCGCCGTCGTCATCTTCTCGTGGTCGGTACTCTGACGTCTTACGTGGTCGTAAGAGATTTTCGAAGTCGCCTCCAGCGAGAACACGCCACCCCGCCGTGCCCCCGAAGCGCGACTGGCACTAGAGAACAACCTCCTTGTTCTTCTGGGGGCGGTCTGGCGGCAGAGTATGAGAGGCTGTGGAGGGGCAAGCCATGGAAGGCAACACAGACGAAACAGTCCTGGGCGTTTCCTACGCAATCCTACCCTGTCCAGTTCGTTCCGTGGGTGCGCTTCCTGGACGCATTCGCTGGTAGGGGTACATCTCACAGGTCTGTAGTGTGTGTGTGTGTGTGGTTATTCTGCCCTTCAAGTGTTGACGGCCTGTGGGGAGCATAAGAGCAGGGGTGACTAAGAACCCAGCACGCCCCACCCACTTAAAGCCGGACTACACGGGGCGACAGGGTTGGGACTCAAGAGACGGGGGTCAATGCAAACGGGGGTCAGGCAGAGCGCCAGGTCTTGCAGGATCCTGCAAAGCCAGGGTTGCATTGACCTGGGCCTGGGTGCAGGGCCCTGCAGGATCCTGCAGGATCTTGCAAGATCATGCAAGGCCTGACTGCCCCGGGCTTGGGCTGACACGGGTCAATCAATCCCCGACAGGTGTTGGTTGTCGACACTTGCCCAGCCCGTCCATTTTGGGGGCCACGGTTCACTTCTCATGGTTTTGCTTCTCGCAGGTCGGCTCGAGGGTTGCATTTGGTTTGCCTGGAGACTCTTTGAATCTCATGGCAGTTTAAAAGTGTGCAGTGTGAAGGTGGGGTTCATTTGCCAGACGGGGCTAGGATGAGGATCAATCTGGTCCAGAGCGTTCCGGCACGCTCTCAGAGCTTTCTGGAACGCTCTGAGAAGGTCACGGCGCCCGACACATCCTCCAGGGCCGCCGGATCTCAGAGATTTTCGATCTATCCTCTCCCGAATTGATCCTCGTCCTGGCTTCGTCTTAGTTCGCTTGTTTGGGAATGAATCGAGCCGCCAAGCCATACACAGCAATCTCCAGCGCGGGTGTTCGAGACGGCACGCCGCGGTCACCTCACCACCCCAAGTTGGGGATCTGCCCCTCGAAACCCGAAGAACCGCGGGGGGACGAGGGTCTCCGTAAGACTCAGCCAGGACGAGGATAACATCGGATAAGGATAAATCGAGAATCTTTGAAATCCGGCGACTCTGGAGGATGTCTTGGGCGCCGCGGCCTTCTCAGTGCGTTCCGGGACGCGCTGAGAGCGAATTTCTCCTCGTCCTAGCCCCGTCCCGTTCCTGGAAGGCCCAGGCAGGCGAACACGAGACGGGTGCCTCCGGCTCGTCTGACTCCTCCTTCTCTCTCAAGCCTCAGGGCCCTCGAGGGCCCTTTTTGGGGGGCCAGGGGGGGTGCGCCAGGGAATCCCGGAGGAGCGGGAAGAAGGGGAGGACGGGACGAGAGGGGGAGCGGGAGGAGGGGAGGACGGCACGAGAGGGGAGGAGGAGGAGGAGGAGGAGGAGGAGGAGGGAGGAGGAGGATGAGGAGGAGGAGGAGGAGGAGGAGGAGGAGGAGGAGGGAGAAGGACCCGCGGGGAGCCTCCCGCCTCGCCCGCGCGGAGCAGCGCTGTTCAGACCTGCCCGAAGCAGCCCGACGGCCTCGGGCCTCTCGGGGCGGCCGCGGGCGCGCGCCTCGGGGCGGAGCCCCCGCTGCGGCAGCCCCGCGGCGCCGCGCGCGCCGCTCCCGCGGGACGCTCCCCTCCCCTTGGGGAGAGATCCCCACCCGGGGGGGGGGGGGGGGAGTCCACACCGCCCAGTTGTTTCCTGCTTTGCGGCCTCCTCGGAGGCCCTCGTCGCCACCGTCGCATGCGCTTCGAAGTTCTGGTCGGAACGCACCCCGGGAGCGGTACGGGGAGCAGCCGTATGGGTACCCTTGGGGGGGGGCAATGGGTACCCTTGGGGGAGCCCCGGGAGTGGCCTCCCCAATCTAGGGGGGAGCAATCGGTCAGTGGGGCCCCGGCCACCCTTGGGAATCGGGATCGTTTCAAGGATGCTCAGGTTGAGCGATCCTGCTGGAGTCGAGGCAACAGCGGGCGAGCTTCTGTTTGCGGGTCGTCCCACTCTGCTGCGGGAGGAGGCGGTCCTACCCCGTCCGGAGGTCCAGCAGTCGGGCAATCAGCAGGGGTCCAGCCAGCCCGTGCCAATGATCGCCCCCCTTGTGCCAAACCAGTTCCAAAGCATCCCTCGGTTCGCGCGAGCGAGCAGCGCAGAGGAGGGATGCACCTGGTGCGAGCGCCGAGCGTGCTGGAGCCAGCCTCCATCGGAAAAACGGCAGCAGGGCAATACCCAGGAAGGGGAAGGAGGCAGGAGCGGAGAAGGACCACGAGCGCGAACGGCTACGAGTGAGAAGCCAGCGCACAAGCCGTCGCGACACAAGCGAGCTGTAGGGAGTCAGGGGAAGCGGATGGTCGTGGGAACAAGCTTAGGGGAACGGACGATGGGTTAACACACAATTACTCAGAAGTCCGCGCGGATTTCTTGGATCGGCGCTGGGCCCCCCTCCCTGGCGCTCGCCGCCAGGCGGGTCCAGCGCGGATGCGAGAAACTCGCGCGGACCTCTGAGTTTTTATGCTCATGTCGTTGTTCGTCCCCCTATGTAGGTTGTCAGGTGAAGCGGATGGTCGTGTTTGTTCGGACAGACCTCCTACCCTGACACGTCGATTCAGGAATTGGCCGTTTTCGGTTGGCGAGAGGGCTTCGCGGCCGTCATTTTTGCGGGTCCAGGTCCGTCGGTTTCGGTCCCACGCCGTTTTCACTAAGGGGAGGTTTACTAAAGGGAGGTTTGTCCACCGCCGATCGTGGGGACAAATTGTTCCAGATCAACTGCGATGGCATCGCCTCCAGCAGTCTGGTCCTTGCACATGCGGTGCAGCCGGGGAGCCTCTTCGGAGGGGATCCGCGCCTCACCTCACAACTCTGGCGTCCGTCGTCGTCGTCATTGTCATTGTCCTAGTAGTCGTCGTCGTCTTCGTCGTCGTCGGTATTCTCTGTGTCGTCGTCTTCCTCGTCGTCTCAGGGGCGGCAGCGAGATGCTCATCATCTGCGGGGCCGAGCGCCCCCGCCGTGGCGCCGAGCTCAAGGTGATGAGCAGCGTCGAGACGAAGAACCCCGGCACCTTCACGAAGGCTGGGAGGGCATATTCTACGCATGTCTGCCGTGATTCGAAGAAGGGGAAACTGCAGAAACATACATTTTCGGTGGTCCGTACGGATCTCTTGGTCTGCGCTGCGTTGGGCCCCCCTGGCAGCGCCTCCGGCGCCGCCCCGCGCGGACCGGCGAAAGTTTATGTTTATGCCGCTTGTTGTTCCTCTAGTGATGCGCACGTGTCTTCAGGGAAACCGGCCATGGATGACCGATTTCGGCATTTTGGGGCCTTTCCTGGGACTCGGGCCCGTCAGAATCCGCATTTTTTCAGGATCCCTGGGGAGGGAGGAGGGCACCCGGCTCCAGGACCCGTTTCCCTCAGGATAGCATTCGCATATCTCCTCCTCCCCCTCCTTGCTTCCCTCTGCCACGCTCACATCAGAAGTTGTCGCGGCGAATCCGTGCTCACGGCGGAGCTGGAAGCTCCTTCTTATTCGATCGGAGCTCTTTTCCCGTGGTGCACTGCTCGATCGTGGCGAGGCTCCCCTTCTCATGAAGTCAGTCCCGGCTGGATCGGCGCGCCTCAGGCTACGTCTACTCCTCTCCGTCTCCCTCCGCCAGCCTTCTCGTGCAGCCCTCCCTCCTCCCTTGAAGGCTTATCCCTCCGCCTTTTCATGCAGCCCGTCGTCCTCCCCGTGTTTCCTTCTTCTCCTCTCCCTCTTCCTCGTTGCTTCATTCTGGTAGGATCGAGTGTGTACGTTGTCGGCCATGGTTGAGGGCGTTATCATTGTTATGAATCGTCTCCTTCATGTTCTTCTTGTGCTTCGTCTTCTTCTTTCCCAGAAGAGTCTCATGGAGGCTTCTGGGACCTCCTGGGGCTTTGGGGTCCCCAGGCGTTTTCATGAAGCTCGGGGGTATATCCAAAACGTTCGAGGCATTTACCATGCAGTGGGGGGGCATGCCAAGAAAATCCCTGCTTGCCTCCAGGGTGCCTTGGGTTTCTTGGGTGTCGAAGGCCTTGCGATGGAGAGCGCGACGTGCCCACCCCTTCCCACCCCAAACATCCATGGACGTCCTGGGGTCTCAGGGTTGGGTTTCTTGCGGAAGGTCTCCTGTGGTCGGGCCTCCACTGTATCCAAAACGTCCGAGGCGTTTACCATGCTCGTCTGGGCTCCTGGGGCGTTGTCGACGCCACGGCTGGAGGCACCTCGAAGTGCTGGCCAGAATGCGCCTCGGGAGAGGGCAGGCTCGAAGATCGATTCAGTCAGTCAAGCCAGGCGCCAGCAACGGCGCATCGGCAGGATCGAAGGTCGATTGCCAGATCGTGTCCCCTTTCGGGGATCGAAGATTGATTGCATGATTGCGAAGATCTTTCGAGGATCGAAGAAGAGGGAAGGACCGAATAGTGTTTCGTCTCAGCTTTGGCCTCCAGAGGCCCCTAATGGGCATCCAGGGACTCCCAGGGATGTCCAGCGGCGGGATGGGCTCTACATACCTCGTAGGCAACCCCTCGAAGGTGGCGCAACCTTCGCGAGGGAAGCGAGGTTGAGGATGCAGGGATGAGAGCATGAGGCAAGCCTTGGCACTTTCAGATATGGTCGTGTGGGTAGGCCGAAGGGTTTGTGAAACGCTCCGCAGTTGCTACCCGTGCGAGTACGATCTGATGGTTCGCAGTATAGCAAGACGAAGCAAGGTGGAACCAATGTCTGAGCCTCCTGCCGCTCCTCCTCCTCCCCCTCCTCCTCCTCCTCCTCCTTCCCTACTCCCCCTCCTCCTCCTCCTCCTCCTCCTCCTCCTCCTCCTTCCCTCCTCCTCCTCCTCCTCCTCCTCCTCCTCCTCCTCCTCCTCCTCCTCCTCCCTCCTCCCTCCTCCTCCTCCTCCTCCTCCTCCTCCTCCTCTCTCCTTCCGCCACAACTTCTCATAATCATTATCTTCCACCCTCTCCACTTCATGTGGGTTCCCTTTACTGCTCCCGCTCATGCATTACTCTCTACCTCCTCCTCCTCCCCTGGCCAGTCCTCGTCGTCAGCTTCCCCCTTCCCCTGTTGGTTTTCCTCCTGCCCGTCAGTTTGGCTTTCCCTGCCTCATACTTCCTCGTCCCCCGTCTCCTCCTCCTTTACCTTCTCCTCTTCCTCCTCCCCGCCTCCCTCGTCTTTCTCGTCACCGAATTTCATACTCAATCCTTGTTTCTCCTCCTCCTTCCCTTTCTCATCTTCCTAATCCTCACCCCCCTCTTCTTCCTCGTCAGATATGTTGACTTTCCCTACCCCATTCTTCCTTCCCTATCCTCGTCCAACCGACCATTCGTCTGGCCTGCACTTCGTGTACAACAGCCTTATCTCTTCCCCCCCTTACTCCTGCGCCTCGTCATCCCTCTTCCTCCTCCTCCTCCTCCTCGATCTTAATTCCCCGTCCTCCCCTTCCACTCCTCGTCTTCCGTCTGGTCCCACTCCACATCTTGTTCCCCCCCGCCTCGCTCTCAGTCATTCCTTCCCGCCTCCTAACCCCTATCGCCTCGTCATCCTCGTCCTCGTCTTCCTCCCCCTGCCCCTTCTCCTCCTCCTCCTCCTCCTGCTCCTCCTCCTCCTCCTCCTCCTCCTCCTCCTCCTCCTCCTCCTCCCCCTCACCCTCCACATCTTCCTGCTCCCCGCATCGTCCTCCTGCTCCTGCCCCTTCACCTCATAGGGGACATCCGCCGGTGGTCTCCCTCCCCTCTCCACGACCAGGGGATCCGCGAGAAGAAGTCGAACGAGAAGGGCTTCGACACCGACCGCATGATCTTCCGCGACGACGAGCTCAGCTACGCGCTTGGCAAGGAGGGCCACCGTCTCCCTCAGAAGCGCCTCATGGGTTGTTCTTCAGGTTTCCGCTGATGTTATTCGGTTTGCCAGCTGCGCCCCGTAAGGTGCGCCCATGGACTGCTAGAGTCGTCCCAAACAGGCGCAGGGCCACCTCCCCCTGAGATGCGTACGCCCTCGGAAGCCGAGGCCGCCGGTGTTTTGAGGCGTGGTCTACTCGCAAGACCACCAGGGCCAGATTTGTTGCCTTCCCCTGCCACGGCATCGAGGCCCGTCCGCCCTGGCCGACGCTTCCATCGGATATGGACCGTTCGCGCTCTTCGGGAGCCTGGGCGGTCGTTGTCGTGGTCTAGGCTGTGCTTACCCGACGGGGGTCAGGATGCCACAGTGTTCTGTACCGTCTGTGGTGTTTGTTGGCAAGTGGATTGGGATGAATCTTGCAATAGCACAGGGTGCATCTCACATCAGACTGTCTGTCGCTAGGGCACAGAGTAGGATGAGGAGGAGGAGGAGGAGGAGGAGGAGGAGGAGGAGGGCCTCCACACACCCCCTCCTTCCTTGGTTGCTTACCCCTTATCCCCCATTATCCTTCTTCCTCTCCGTCGTCTCCCCCATTGCCCTCTAGCCCCGTCCCCTAGTCCATCCTCCTCTTTCTCGTCGTCTTCCGCCTTCTCCTCCTCCTCGTCCGACCTTCTCGCCCTCCTCCCTTCTTCTACTCCTATGCGTTTCCCCTCCTCCCCCCCTTACTTATCCATCTCTCTTCCCTCCTTCTCCTGCTTCGCGTTCCTCTGCCCCCCCCTCCTTCTGCGCCCTCCCCTCCCCCCTGCCCCTCTCCCCGTCAGCCTCGACGTAGGCGGCCCTGGGAAGCCCGCGGGACAGGGGGGGAGGAGGAGGAGGAGGAGGAGGAGGAGGAGGAGGAGGAGGAGGAGGAGGAGGAGGAGGAGGAGGAGGAGGAGGAGGAGGAGGAGGAGGAGGAGTGGTGGAGGAGGAGGAGGAGGGAGGATGAGAGGAGAGGAGTGTAAGAAGCGGAGGAGGTTGGGGTTGATGAGGAGGAGGAGGGGAGGAGGAGGAGGAAGCGGAGAGTAGGAGGAGGAGGAGGAGGAGAAGGAGGAGGAGGAGGAGGAGAAGGCGGAGCCCCCCCTCCCCCCCCGGTCTGCGAGGAGGGCGCCACCCGCAAGAAGCTCGGGGGCTCCTCTGGGGCCGTGCTGCAGTACGTGGGCCACGTCGCCTTTATCGCCGGCGACCTGAAGACGCGGCGGCGCCTCGGGTCGGCGACCATTCGCTTGGCATCGCTCGGAAGTGTGCAGCTTTTCTCGGCGAGGGCCCTCGAGGAGCAGTTTCGAGCATGCTGCGAAACATATTCACACACGAAACCGCAAATTAGCCTGGCAAAGGACCCAACCAGATGCAGTTGTGCACACCGCAATTGTGAAGATCTTCTTCGGTGGCGCTCCCTAAGGCTCCACGAACCCTGTGAGGGGTGTCCTCACATGGTTGCGGGGGACGCATGTGGACGGTGGCACTGGGCCTTTCGGTGGAGCTTCCTTTGGGGCCACGAAACGTGTGAGCGGGTTGCCGAAATGGGTGTGGGGGACGCATGTGGGCGGTGGCACTGGGGCCTTCGGTGGAGCGCCCCACGGGGCCACAAAACGTGTGAGTGGTGTGCCGAAGTTGGTGCGGGGGACGCATGTGGACGGTGGCGCTGGGGCCTTCGGTGGAGCTCCCTATAGGGCCACGAACCCTGTGAGGGGTGTGCCGGGGTTGCATGAGGACGGTGGCACTGGGGCCTTCGGTGGAGCCTCCTATGGTGCCACGAAGTGTGCGAGAGGTGTGCCGAAATCGGTGCGGGGGACGCATGTGGACGGTAGCGCCGGGGCCTTCGGTGGAGCTCCTTATGGAGCCACGGAGTGAGTGAGGGGTGTGTCGAAATGGAAAAGAGGGGCAGGCCGCTTCGCACACAGGGCCCCCCCCCCCACCAGGGCCCCACCCCCCCTTAGGGAAGGGACCATCCAGCCAGGCCCGCCCCAGAGGGCAGGGATCCAGGGATTGGAGCAGGACAGGGAACCCCCCACCCCCACAGGCAGGGACCAGGGGCTCAGGGCCCCTTCACCCACCAGCCCGCCCCCCACAGGCAGGGCCCAGGGATCAAGGGGCCCGGGACAGCACCAGGGCAGCAAGAGGGCCCAGCGATGGGAGGAGGGAGGGGGCAGCAGGAGGAGGAGTGGACGCGGGGGCGCCGTTCTTCAAAACGAGGGGACCAACACCACAGGAGGATGGGATGGCTGGGAAACATGCTCGGGGAAGGGCCTTCTAAGGCATATGGCGGATCCGAGAGCGCAGAGGAGGAAAAAGGCATCGAGGCCGCTGCCATTGCTTCGTGTTGGCGTCTGCGGGTCTCCCCAGGAGGCCCTCGTCGCGTCGCGCACCGCTGATGTGCTAGCAAAGCTTGCATAGAACGCACCCCGGGAGAGGGTCCTGGGGAGTGGTCTGTATGGGACATTGTGGGCTCACCACCTCTTCCTACTCCTCTCCTCATCCTCATCCTCCTCCTCCTCCTCCTCTCTCCTCCTCCTCCTCTCATCCTCCTCCTCCTCCTCCTCCCTCCGTAGCCATTTGGCTCAACAGTTTATCGTCAGGGTGGTCTGCGCGACCCTCTCGGCCTGGCACCCCCCGGGTCTGGGACCATGCGGGGATCCTGCAAGCGCGGGCCCGAACGACGCCGGAGTATCGGACACCCCTTCTGGGGGCTCCCCTGGCTGCAGAGGCAGCCTTCCGGCACGGGTCCCCAGCCTTTTGGTTCCGAAGTCTCACCGGCGCGGACGGGGGGCCCACAAGCGGTTGCTGATCGGAGAGCCCCCTGGCCCGCTCGCTTCCGCCGCCCCACGAGGAGCAGAAGCGGCGCAGGCATCAACGTTCGGAGGTCCGCGCGGATGTTTTGGGCGGGGTGCCGGCCCCCCTGGTGAGCAACACGCGCTTCGGGTGTTTGTTGTTGCCCCCCTCAACGTCCGCCATTCCCGCCTCATCATCATCTGCCTTCTCCTCTTCGCCGTGGCCCTCGTCTTACTTCTCCGCCTGTCATCCTGCGCCGTGCTCTTCGTGTGCCTGTTTCTCGTCCGATCCGTCGGCGTCCTCCTCGTCGGCATCCTCCTCCTCCTCCTCCTCCTCCTCCTCCTCCTCCTCCTCCTCCTCCTCCTCCTCCTCCTCCTCCTCCTCCTCCTCCTCCTCTCTCCCCGTCAGGGGCCTAATAGCATACTTAAGTGTGCGCGACCAGTTTCCGTCCGCCTGCGTTTGAACGAGGTCTCTCGTGCGCACATGATCGTGGAGGGCGTACACGCGCACGTGTCTTTGTCCCCTCCGATCGTTGTCGTCTTCCCTGTCCTCGTAGTTCTTGGTCGTCGTCCTCCTCATCCTCGTTCGATTCCTCCTCCTTGTCCTCGTTCGCTTCCTCCTGCTCGTCCTCGCTATCCTCCTTGTCATCCTCCTGCTTGCGAATCCCTCCTTTCTTTCCCCTGCTTCCTCAGTCGTGTAAGCATTTTACCCTGCCGCTCATTGTGACGGGAGTCAAACACTCATCAGGCAGACGCTAGCCAGGTCAGCAGACGGCCAGATCGCCCATGCAAACCAGCGGCTCGCTTGCTTCCTTATTTAGCCAACATGGTATTACTCATTATCAGTTTGCCGCTATAGCTTAATCTTTCCTTATCCCTGTGCCTCGGCAACGCATTCTCCGTATGTTTTGTCATCCTCGCAGTACACCTCGGTATCCTCCTCCTCCTCCTCCTCCTCTTCCTACTCATCCTCTTTCCCCTCCCCTGCAGCAGTATCTGCAAACCTCGCCGTCGGTCAGAGCCTCACCACCCCGTTCCATGTCCTGCCTTTCGTTGTCATATTCGTGCTCCTCCTCCTGCGTCCCCTGTGTTCGGTATCCCTTAATCCTCCTCCATTTATCTGGTTACTCGTCACCACCACCACTACAATCAGCATCGTCACCATCCGCATGATCAGCAGTATCGTCATCATCATGGTGATCAGCAGCATCATCATCATCATCATCATCATCATCATCATCATCATCATCATCATCATCATCATCATCATCATCATCATCATCATCATCATCATCACCGTCATCACCGTCATCACCACCACCACCATCATCATCATCATCGTCATCATCACCATCATCAACACCATCATCATCATCATCATCATCATCAGCATCATCATCATCATCATCATCGTCATCGTCATCATGATCAGCAACATCATCATCGTCTTAATCAACAGCAACATCATCATTACCATCAGCCTTCTCACCACGGCCATGGTCATGGTCATGATCAGCATTATGATCATGGTATTCCTCCTCATCATCAGCAGCATCAGCAGCATCAGCATCAGCACCACCACCATCATCATCATCATCATCATCAGCATCATCATCATCATCATCATCATCATCATCATCGTCAGTCTGATCATCATTTTGATCATCACCATCAGCAGCAGCAACAGCATCATCATCATCATCATCATCAGCAGCAGCAGCATCATCATCAAAGTCGCTGTCCTCATCGCCATTCTTGGCCCAGGCCGCGCCCCCGAGCGCCTTGGTCTTGCCGCCGCGCTCTTCGGAGCGGCCCGCGGCGGCGTGCCGTGACCGGGAGATGGTGGGCATGGCGAGCCCGCCGCCGCTCCTCGTCGCCCGCCGCGGCGACCTCTTGCTCGAGGCGCACTCCTGCCTCATCGCCGAGGCGCTGTTGGCCCGCTTCTTCGCTGGCGAGGCGGAGGACGGGGACAGCAGCGAGGCTCGGCGGACCGCCGAGCGGGCTCGGCCGCGCACCGCTTGCGAGCAGGAGCTGGAGAGCAGCCCGGCGGGCTCGTTCTTCATCGGGGGCCTGCAGCCCGTTCTGGAGGTGGGCGTGGACGAGCAGGACGACGAGGTGGCGCTGCACGTCGAGAGCGGCGTCGTGGCGCTGGACTTCGCCGGGGACGACGAGTGGTACGGCGGCTCCGGAGGCGAAGCAGCTCCTCAAGTCGTTACAGGTGCCGATCTGGCTGAGGACGAGGGTCGCGGTGGCGAGGGCAACTCGTGCGAGCAGGTGGGCCTGGTCGCGCACGTGCAGGCGTTCCCCTCGAGCTGGAGGCGCAGCGGGAGATCGCGGACGCTGAGGACGTCAAACATCCCCCCGAGGGCTCTGACAGCACCATGGGGCAGGCGAGCGAGGGGTTCGCTGCTCAAGTCGGGAACGAGGGCGGCTCGAGGGTCGGGGAGCAGCTGCTGGACGGCGCTGCGGGCGTCAGCGAGGGCTTCACGGAGGGCGGGCTGGAGCGCAAGCTGGAGGCCGAGGCCGTGAAAGAGCTCGCGAAGCCTGCACTCGCCAGGTGCCTGCCGGGGCCGCCGCCGGGGCCGCCGCGGGCCCCTCCTGCATGGACGACCTCGTCCGCGCAGTCGGCGCCCCCGCGCGAGCCAGCACTCGCCGGGGGCCAGCAGGGGCCGCCGCAGCAGGAGGCTGCGGTCTCCAGCGAGGCGTTCATGGCCAAGGTCGGGGACGGGCCCAGCGTCTGGAGCAGCTGCTGGACGATGCCGTGGTCGTCGGCAGGGGCTTCACGGAGAGCGCGGAGCTTGGCTTGCAGCACCGCCCCGGCCCCGCGATCAAGGCCAGCCAGGCCTAGTCGCGTGTGGACGCGGCGCGCGCCGCTCAGAAGGGCCAGTGGCGGCTCGCGACCGATGTGCTGGTTGACAAGACGTTCGAGGCCCCTGTCGTGGCGTCGGAGGCGCAGGTGGACGGCCGCTCCGAGGTGCCCTCCCCAGGGGCCCCCGAGGTCCAGGAGCACGCGGAGCCGCAGTCGGCGCTTCTTGAGGGCCTCGACCAGGCTGCGAAGGCCATCGGGCTCGGTAGGCACGATTGGGACTTGGTCTCCGGGGCACTTCGTCGTGATGCTGCCGTCGATACGAATTGCTTCGCGCAGCGCAAGGCCACAGTTGAGGCGCTCCAGTCTGTAGCGCTGTCGACGGCGTGGTGTGGATGGAGCTGGACGACGCCGCCGAGTACGGATACTCGGGCCCCTTCGTCCTTCCTCGTGTGCGGGTACGGCGTGCTCGTGAATTTCTTCGGCCTCGAGCTATGGGTTGCATGGGGAGCCGCCGCTGCGGCAAGGCGGTGGTTCGGCTGATCGCCCGAGACCCACCCGAGCCACTCCCATCAGCATCACCATCACCATCATCGTCATTATTATCACCATCATCATCGTCATCATCAGCATCGTATTCATCGTCATCGCCATCATCATAAACATCATCACTTCCATCGTCACCATATTCATCGTCATCGTCATCACCATCTCTCGTATCATTAGCAGCCCTCTGTTGCCCCTCCACTTTCCAGCACCCGCCACCCGTATCCAGATTTTTCGTTCTCATCCTGATCCTCCTCCTCCCTCGTCCCCACACCCCCGCACTTCTCCCACAAGCTATCGGCCCATGGACCTTTCCCGGGGCCCATTCTGTTGGGACTCCTGAGGGGAGTCTAGCCGTGGAAGCGAGACGCATCCCCGAGGGGCATTCCGATGCCAAACCCCCAGTCTCATTACCCTCCCAAATAACAAAAATGAATCGTCAAACCGCTTTTCTCTTAGAAACCCCTCACCCCCTCAGTCCTCCTCATCCGCAGTCCTGACTCCTCCTTGAACCATCTTCTTCCTCCTCAGCCGTGCGGCCTTCGGGAAAAGGCGCTGCCGGGAGTTCATCGACTGGCTGCTGCAGCAGCGGAAGGGCTCCGTCACCATCGCCGACGTTTCGCAGCGGGAGGAACGCGCGCCAAACGGATGACGATGATGATGATGGTTATGATGATGATGATGATACTGATGATGATGACGTTGATGATGATGATGATGATGATGATGATGATGATGATGATGATGACGCTGACGATGACGATGATGATACTGATAATGATAATGATGATGATGATGATGATGATGATGATGCTGATGATGATGATGATGATGATAATAATGATGATGATGGTGGTGGTGGTAATGATAAGGACGATGATGATGATGCTGATGATGATGATGATGCTGATGCTGATGCTGATGCTGATGATGATGATGATGATGATGATGATGATGATGATGATGATGATGATGATGATGATGATGATGATGATGATGATGATGATGGTTGTGATGATGGTGAGGAGAAGGAGAAGGAGGCAGAGGAGGAGGAGGCGGAGGGAGGAGGAGGAGGAACAGGATGAGCAGCAAGAGGAGGAGGAAGAGAAGGAGGAGGAGGAGGAGGAGGAGGAAGAGGAGGAGGAGGAGGAGGAACGACCAGGAGAATGGACAAGGGGGAGGAGGGTCTGGAAAGCGAGATGGGGCAGAGGAGTAGGAGGAAGGAGGCGGTCCGATGAAGGAGGACGAAGAAGCAGTTGTGACGAGGAGTGGAGGACGAGCAGTTGTGGGGGGTAGCGATGTGTATGGTTCGCGGGAGTGTGTTTGGATGCCTGCGTGTGGACCGCGAGTGCGAGGGGGAGGTATATGACACAGGACTCGGTGAGCGGCATCTGAGACCCACGGGACCACGAGGTGGAGGGAACGAAAGAGTTGCAAGAAATCGGGCGAGGAAGAAGGGGGAGGAGGGATAGGGAAGGGAATGCGGGGAGAAGGACGAGGAGGAGGAGGAGGTTGGGGAGGACGGTGAGGGTAGTGATGCTGTAGTGGGAGAGGTTGGTCGGGAGGAGGAGGAGGAAAATTATGAGGATGAAGAAGAGAAGGACGAGTTCATGAGGTGGCTCGCGCTGCGATAAAGACCGTATCCGCCGCGCCAAGAGGAGGAGAAGGATGATAATGAGAAGATCGCGGGGGAAGGCTAGGACTAGGAATGGGACGATGAGTTGGAGGAGGACGAGGAGGAATACTCCGACGCGCTAGGACACCACCGAGGTGCATGTCCCCGAGAATTGCAAGGGCTGGGTGACCGGCAATCGCGGCCACCAGGGGGCGGCCGAAACCACCGCGGCGGCGGCAGCCGCCTTCCAGTGAGGGAGAGGGGAGGAGGAGGAGAGAGCGGAAGGTGCGAGGAGGAGGAGGAGGAGGAGGAGGAAGAGAAGGAGGAGGGGGTTGCGGAGGAGGGGGAGGAGGAGGATGGTCAGGAGGAAGAGGAGGAGGAAGGAGTAGGTGGTGGATGAGGTGGTGCAGGAGGAGGAGAGGGAGGGATGATCAGAAGGAGGAGGGAGGCGGGTGGGGAATGAGGAGAGGAGGAGAAGGAGGAGGACGAGAAGAAGAAGGGAGGAGGAGGGTGAGGCGGGGAGGAGGATGGGTAGCGTGAGCAGGAAGGAGGAATGAGGAGGAGGAGGAGGATCGAGGAGGAGGAGGGTGGGCTCGAGGAGGAGGAGAGAGAGGAGGGGAGAGTGGAGAGGAGGAGGAGGAGGTGGAGGAGGGGGAGGAGGGATCAGGTAGGAGGAAGAGCAGAAAGGAGAGTGGAGAGCAGGGGGAGGAGAAGGATAGAGGAGGAGGAGAAGCGGAGGGGGGGAGGAGGGATGGGGAGGAGGAGGAGGAGGAGGAGGACGTGGAGGAGAAGGATGAGGAGGAGGCGGAGGAAGCAAGGTGTGGCCGCCGCGAGGCTCGGAGCTTCGTCGCATGGAGCAGGAGACGGGCACCTTCATGTTCATGGCGCTGGACGGGAGGGGCATGGAGCGGCTCCTCCGCCTGTGAGGGGAACAAAGGAAACACTCCTACGCCGCCTTTTTGACATGCCGACTAGGAGGAGGAGAAGGAGGAGGAAAAGGAGGAGGAGGAGGAGGAGGAGGAGGAGGAGGAGGAGGAGGAGGAGGAGCAGTAGGACGAGACTGATGGCGAGGAGGAGGAGGAGGAGGAGGAGGAGGAGGAGGAGGAGGAGGTGGGGGTAAGGGGCAGAAGGGTGAGGAGGAGGAGGAGGAGGCCGAGAGAAGGACCGAGGAGGAGGAGTGGTCCAAGGATTGCCAGGAGAGCGAAGAGGAAACGGCGGAGGGGGAAGAGGGGGAAGGGGCGGAAGGGTATTGGGACGGCTTGGAAGAGCGGCTCCTCCTCTTCCCTTCCGTCCTCCTTCCTCTTCCTCCTCCTCAGTATCATCATCACCATCAACATCATCATCAGCAGCATCATCACCAGCACAATCATCATCATCATCATCATCATCATCATCATCATCATCATCATCATCATCATCAGCATCAGCATCAGCATCATCATCATCGCCACCACCAACATCATCAGACTCTTCATCAACCTTGCATCATTCTCAACATACTCATCATTAACACTGGCAGCACTCTCATCATACTTGCCAGCATCACCATCATCAGCAGCAATAGCATCATAATCAGCACCACCATCTACATTATCTTCATCCGGGGGGGCATCCTTTTCATCATCAGATCATCATCACTATCCTACTCATCATCATGTCAACGCCATCGATACCTTCGTCGTCATCATCGTCATCGTCAGCATCTAAACGTACACTCCTCGTCCGCCTCATTCTCGTTCCCGCTCCCTCTTCGGCTCCTAGTCCCCCCTCCCGCTTTCAACCACATGATTGGCTTGCTCGTCTCCCTTATCGGAGTCCTCTATGTTCCCTCCTCATTGCACAAGTTCCCTTCTCAGCATCCTCATTCCGTTCCACCTCTGCATTGTTTTTGTTGTTCCCCATTCGAGGTACATGCATCATTCTTCGCTATCCTCTCCTAGTCCCTACCCCTTCAGCCGCACACATCTATCATCACCCCCATTCGCCAAGGGAATCCGCATTCTCATCACCGGCACACCCCTCACCATGGCCCCAAAATGCAGATGAGACGGAGGGGAGAGGAGGAGAGGGGTAGAGGAGGGAGGAGGGAGAGGATGACAGAGGTTCGTGGACGAAAGAGGAGGAAGAAGGTCCGAAGGGGAAGTTCGCGCAGGAACGGGGGTGGAGTCTCCAGTTGAGTCCCGATGGCTCGTTACCGCCCCTTGGGGCGAGGTTCACCCTGTTGCGTGTGCCTTGGCCCCGCAGGGCCTTCGGGTCATCGCAACTAGGGTATGGGCACTGTCCCTCAGGACGTGGCCCTGGGCGGGGAGCGAGGGAGAGAGGAAGGGGAGAGGACATCAGCCGTACCCCAGGAAAGAGGGGAGGAGCCAGTCAGGCCTGTTCGTGCCATACTAGCTGGCGCCCTGCCTATCTCGCACAACCCCTCCCGATGCGCTGCAGGGTTTCTGTATCCGCAGACGCGTGTCCAAGCGGACCTGGAAGGTTCAAACAGAGAAGCCACTCCCCGAACAGTGCTTGCACGAGGGGGGGGCTAATACCTGGCTCCCTCAGATGCCTGGACGGGTCCGCCGAGGACCTCCCACGCTGCCCCCCGTGCCGCCTGGAATGCGTGCAGGCGCCCCGAGCGCTGGATGGGTCCGCCGGGATTGTACCCCGTGCGGGGGGAGGGGCCGCCAAGGCAGCGCAGCGTGGCTGCCCGTGCCGCCCTGCGGGTGCTCGCGGGCGCCTCGTGCGCTGGGTGGGTCCGCCGAGGCCTCGCCACGCTGCCGCCCGCACTGCTCTCGTGGGCGTTGGCGCCTCGTGCGCTGAGGTTACTCCACAGGGCTTGCGCGGCAGTGCTCGCACGGCACGGCTGGCACCGCACAGCCTGCACCGCACATCTCGCACTACATCCATCGCACCACGCTGCTCAGACCGTGTGGCTTTCGCATCCAGCTTACCACCACGCAGCTTACACGACATAGCTGCCGACACAGCTCCCACGACGTAGGCTGCGCCGCTTAGCTGCCACTTCTATAGCTTTACTCGCTACATAGCTAACACCACATTTCTCATGACACGTCGCGCACAACGCGTATATCCCTTCACGTCGCAACATCTCACAGGTAGGGGTCCACGATGCCTAGCATATGTTTCCTCGTGATCGGAGAATGGGAGCTAGCCGTGTACGTACGAGGAGGAGGTGTCGGAAGGGTGAGAGGTTGAGCACATGTAAAATGGGAATGCGGAGGGGTATGGACGAGGACGAGCATCAGCAGCAGGAGCTTGAGCGGAAGGAGTGGGAGGATCAGGAGGACCCGCGGAAGGCGGAAGAGGAGCAAGACGAGGGACGACAACGATTGGGAATGACTCGGGTTCACAGAAGTGGCCCGGTGGGGCGAGAGTACCACTCTGAACGACGGGAGCACAGCGCCGATGCTAAATTGAGGCTCACGCTGCAGCGGCAGCACCATTTTGAAGAACCGAGAACCGTCGCATGGTATCACGAACGAGAAACACACACATACTAAAGTCCTGCGTGTTAGAAGAATGCGCGGAGAGGGCGGGACATCTTCCGCACAAAGTCAGGTGAGAAGGGAGTGTCGTATTTACATGGGGTATCTGGGGAGGGGGAGGAGGAGGAGGAGGAGGAGGAGGAGAGGAGAAGGAGGAGGGGGAGAAAGAGAGGACGAGGGAAGGAAGCTCTTCCACTCTGCCCCCCCCCGTCCTCGGCTCTTCCACGTCGTTGACCCTTGTTCCCGCGAAAGCGGCGGCGCGACGACGACGACGACGACAAGGCTTCTCATCTTCTGCCACGACCTGGCCAAGACGAGCCCGCATGGCCGCATGGCCGGCCGAGCGCGCCTCGTCAACGAGCTGATCCAGGAGACTATGTCCGTCGGCTGCCACTGGGAGGGAGGGAGACACGCGCCGGATGAAGAAAAGAAAAGGGGACGAGGCAGAAGAGGATCGCATGTCCGGTTCATTGAACGCTATTGTCGTTCTGGGTCGTCAGGGAGGTTCCTCGATGCTACAGCAATTGTACGTTTCTGTGGGTTGCCTTTTTGTGCTTATCGTTCTCGGTGTGTTGTTTGTTGCTTTCGTGCGTCTTCGTGTTAGTTGTTTATTGCTTTGGTTGTGGGTCGTGTTGTGATTTGGGGTTTTTAGGTTGGTGAGTGGTTGGTATCGGTTTATAATGTGTGTGGTTGTGGTGGTTGTTGTTAATATTTGATTCTTCCTATTTTATTTATTTCTTTTTCTTTTTTTAATGTTTTATATTTCTTTACTTGTGATTTGTTTTTTTGTTTGTGTTTTCTTTTTTCTTAATTGTCGCTCTTGTCTTTTACGTGTTTCTCTTATTTTATTTGTTTTTTTTGCTGGAATTACTATTTATCTCATAATTCTTGTTTTTTACTTTTTCTACATTTTTGATCATTCTAGTTTTCTTTATTTTATAGCAGGCGACGCTTCGGGGCATGCTCGGAGCGCGGACGGGGATTGGTCCTGGGGCTGATCTTTCGGGGGAGGGAGGCGGTGGAGGAGGTGATGGACGGGGATAGGGGGGCGACGAGGAGCACAAGGAGAGAGGAGGAGCAGAACGATATGGAGGCGGAGAGGGACACTGAAGAAGATGATGAGCAGCAGTCGGAGGGGCGGAGGCATGATGGTGGAAGGTGGAAGGATGATGATGATCCTGATGATGCTGATCATGATGATGATCATGATGATGATGCTGATGATGATGCTGATGATGATGCTGATGCTGATGCTGATGCTGATGATGATGCTGATGATGATGATGATGATGATGATGATGAGGATGAGGATGAGGATGAGGATGAGGATGAGGATGAGGATGAGGATGAGGATGATGATGATGATGATGATGATGATGATGATGATGATGATGATGTGATGATGATGATGATGATGATGATGATGATGATGATGGATGATGAGAGAAGAGGAGGGAGGAGGGAGGAGGAGGAGGGAGGGCGGGAGGAGGAGGAGGAGGAGGAGGAGGAGGAGGAGGAGGAGGAGGAGGACACGGTAGAACTCCGTCGCCAGAAACCTCCAGAGGTCCTCTCCGAAAGCCGCTGGTGATGCAGCATAGGCGCGAGGGCACAGGGGATGCTCGGGCGTCCCAGCCGACTCGGGGAAGCTGGAGCGTCAGCCCCCTGGGATCGACCTCCCGACGGGTGTGGCCCTGTTTCGGGCTCACGGCGGACTGGGCGAGAGCCCCTCGGAATCCGTGGCCCGCGAGCGGGCCAGGCCCCGCGCAGTGGCTCCCGTGGATCTGCTGCCCGACGGGCCCCGGCGGGGCCTGCGGCCGCGTCTTGGGCGGCTGTCCGGCGCCCCTCGCTCGTCTGGGCTCCTGGTCGTCCCGTGCACGCGATGGGGTGGTGCCGTAATTCGCTGCAGAGCTGGCGAGGATAAGGTCTAAGGAGGGGGCGAGGGAGGGGGGAGAGGAGGAGGAGGAGGAGGAGGAGGAGGAGGAGGAGAAGTCGGTGGAAGCAGGGGGATGATTAGGAAATAGGGGCGAGCACGTGGAGGATGAGGAGTAGAAGGCTGTGGAGGGTGAAGGGGGACGAGTACGAGGACGAGGTCGAGGAGGAGAGAAAAGGACAAGGGAAGGATGAGGATAGGGACAATCGTAAACCCAAGACCCATCAACCATGTTGAAATACACCTTCCCTCCAAGCTCCCTCCTCATAGGCTCCTGCAAGCACTCAGTTTCACTGAGGGAAGTGCCCCTCTGGGAGAGAACATGTTGAAGATTCTGAAGCGTGCCAGAACACGATTCCCAGGAATTCAGCGCCTAGAATCAGTAGGAATGTTGCGTGCTGACAATGGTGAATCGTGGCTGAATATCATTATTCGGGCTTCAGCTCCGCGAATCAACGTAGCTGCTGCGCACTGATCATCCTGCATCGTTCCAGCACACCGTGCCTGATACGTTAACCATGACATCTGCGAATTCTTGCACATGGTTAAGACGAGTGTCCGCGGCGCTAAGGCGAGAGTCACATCTTGAAAAGGAACCGCCCTCCATCTGGGCAGCTCTTGCAATTTCTTAAGACGAGTGTGCGCGGCGCTGAGGCGAGAGCCACATTTTGAAAACGACCCGCCCTCTATCCATGAAATCTGGCACATGTTTCAAACGAATGTGCGCAACGCTAAGGCGAGAGCCACATTGGAAGCGGCCCGCCCTCCATCCGTGAAGCATCACAAGCGGTAAGGGAGTCTCAGACCAAACGCCCGGCCCGCCCCTCTGACTGGCCTCGGAATGCGACATGGATGAGTTAGTTATGAGGAATGGGGGAGGACAGGAATACGGACGACCAGTAGGGGAAGGAGGAACCCGATGACACGCAAGACGATCCAAGGAAGAGGCCAGGGCAGGACGAGGGGTGGCTACAAGATCGGCTGCATTAGTGATCCAAGGAGGGGGGCAGTAGCATGAAAGGAGGATGAGCCGGTGGAGTAGGAAAGTGATGCTGATGAGGAGCAAGAAGAGGATAAGGATAATGATGTAGGGATATAGAGATCAGGATGCGGATCGGGATGGAGATAGGGACATAGGATATGTGTGCAAGGGAAAAGGGCCAATGGTATAGAGATAGGGAAATCGACAGAGGGTAGCGATAGGGAGGAACAAGAAGACAACAGGAGACAACTGGGGGCAACGCGAGACAATGGGAGACAACGGGGGAATGAAGCCCAACCCATTTCAGGTCGGGGTCGCCCCGCACTTGGCTTCTATAAGACCCTTACAGATAAGGCTTTTAGGGTACCAGGTTTACGACGAGGAGAAGCTGCGCGACGACCCCGGCCACGACGCCGACGACGGCCACATCCACGACCACGGCGACGAAGATAACCCTGGGCAGCGACGACGACCACGACGTACAACGACGAACGACGTGCAACGACGAACGACAGCGAACGACGCCGACGCCGACGACGACGCCGACGCCGACCAACAAAAATCGGCGCGGTCCGAGGAGAAGCTGCGCGACGATGGCGACGGCGGCCGCGGCCGCTCGGACAGCCGCCGGCGCTCCCCCTCGCGCCGCCGCTCCTCGTCGCGCAGGCGCCCTCCGTCGGCCACCGCCGCTCGTCGGCGCCCGCCGTCGCACGGCGCTCGTCGGCCGCCGCGCGGGGCGCTCGTCGCCGACCGTGGTCGTTCGTCCGGCGCTCGTCCTTCGGCCGCCGCCGTTCGTCGTGGTCGCCTTCGTCGCTCGCCGTGGTCGCCCTCGTCGTTCTCTTCGTGGTCGTCGTCGCTTGACGTGGCTCGCTGGCATCCTCGCTGTCCAGCGTCGGTGTCGTCGCCGTAGCCGTGAGCCCGGCCGTGGCCGCCGTCGGCGTCGTGGTCGTTGTCGTCGCCATCGTCTTCGCTGCCGTCGTCGTCGTCGTCGTCGTCGTACCTCTTGCCCAGGGCGAGAGAGGTTTGAGGGATGGGGTCGACGAGGAGGAAGAATGGGAGGAGGGAGGCGACATCCACAGGATCTTGCAGCCACCAGAAACCAGGAACCAGTAGGGGGAGGAGGAGGAAGAGGAGGAGAAGGATGTTTGGGGAGAGCGCTGAGGGAGAGTAGAGCCGCAGCATCGTCTGCCAAGGCCAGGACGCCAGCATGGCAGCCACCAGACCGAAGACCTGAACTGCGGCGCAAACCACCATGTTATAATGTCCGACGCGGTTGCAGGCACCTCCACAAAGTCAGCAACCAGCGACCAGCGACCCCGAGTGAGGGGCCACCCCGATCCCGCCACTCCCATCACTTGGGCACACCCCTCACACGTTTCGTGCCCCATACGGAGCTCCACCGAAGTCGGCGCCAGTGGCTGCGTTCGCATGCCGCCACCGCTCTCAGTTTGGCGCATCCCTCACACGCTTCGTGGCCCCATAATGGAGCTTCACCGAAGGTTCCAGTGGCTGCGTTCGCATGCGCCCCCCCCCTGAGTTTGGCACACCCTTCACACGTTTTATGGTCTCATACGGAGCTCCACCGAAGGCTCCAGTGGCTGCGTTCGCATGCCGCCCCCCCCTCAGTTTGACACATCCCTCACACGCTTCGTGGCCCCATAGGGATCTCCGCCGAAATCCCCAGTGGCTGCTTTCGCATGCCGCGCCCGCATGTCTTCTCCCGCTTCTCCACGCGCCTGTCAGCCGCAACGGGTCACGTCAGCATGTAACTCGTTTCGTCTGACCTCCGCGCCCCCTGCGGGCGGCCCCAGTGGCAGCCCCCGCATGGCGGCCCCGCCTCATTTCGGCGTTTGTTTTCCCCGTAGTGAGCTCCCCCGAAGGCGTGGTTCACAACGTCGGTAATCACAGCTGCACGCGGTTGGGTCTTGCGCAGGGATAACTGTTTTGGGCTCGTGGCCCAGGGCTTTGAGCTGGAGAGCGCGCCGACGTGCGCGCCAGCCAGAACAAGGAACCCCAGTTGAGGCCAGTGGTCACACGGACCATGTTGGCGTTGCGCCTGCACGCGTACCTGGTGCGCTTCCCACTGCGTCGGCTTCCAATGCTCTAGCCTGCGGCCCGCTCTGGCCCGAACGCGGTGTGATCGACATCGCTTTGACAAAAGGGTAATTAGCCCCAAAGGGGGGGATGGCGAAGACAATCGCTCTTCGTGCTTCGCGGTCTTGGCTGGAGGGTTCCACAGGGGCGCCGCGCGAGAGCGCGACCAGCTACTCTTTGGGTACAGCTTGTACAGGAGCACGAGAAGTTCCACTTTGATTCGGATGGGCCTGGTCCTGTCAGTAACCCCTGGCGCTGGATCGCCACTCCCGTCAACGAGCTCGCGGCTTGCCCCCTGTTTCACCTCGAGTTATTCTGCGTGCTGGTTTTCCCGTGCGCCGCTTGTCTGTGGCTTTTCACCCGTGTCTCCCGTCAAAGATCACCAGACACGACAGGCACCGCCTCAAGCGCGGACAGAGCAGAGCATAGACGGGCAGGGGAAGGGGATGATCACGAGGAGGTGGCGTGATGGGGGGGCGAGGGGAAGAGGAGGGCCAGGTCTTCAGGCCTTCAGATGAGGCGTGAGAGGAGGAAACGGACTAGGAGGAGGCTGCGACTGACTGCCCCGGGTGCTCCGTGCAGCGCCCTCGTTGACGACGCCTCCCTGTTACCCTCCCTCCCCTCTCCCCTCCAGCTCCCTCTTCCACCTTGTTCACCTTCCGCGTCCCTGCCTCTCTCACGTCGTCCCAGTCGCCGCCACCACTGCCGTCGTCCTCGCCCTTCTTCTCGACGATGTCGACGCTGGCGGCCTCGGCGTAGGCGTCGGCGTCGGCGAGGTGGTGGTAATCGTCCTCGTCGGCGTCGTCGGCGGCGTCGGCGCGGTGGTAGTTAGTTGTCGTCGTCGATGGCGTCGCCGGCGTGTGCTGGTGGTGGTCGTCGTCGGCGTCGGAGTCGGCGTCGGCGTCGGCGTCGGCGTCGGTGTCGGCGTCGGCGTCGGCGTCGTTGTCGTCGTTGTCGGCGTCGGCATCTGCGTCGTCGTCTTCGTCGTCCGCGTCGGCGGCCTTGGCGTCGTCGGCGTCGCCTTGCGGCAGCCAGGCGCTCGCCCTCGCGCCGCGGGCGCGGGCGCTCCGACTCGCGCTCGCGCTCGCGCGGGCGCCGCTGAGCGGGGGCGATGAGCGGGGCGGCGAGTATGGGCAACGAGGGCTCGGGGGGCAAGGATGCGGAGGATGATTAAGGCAAAGGAGGAAGCGGAGGAGAGGGATTAGGGGGGAGGGTGGAGAGGGAAGTGGAAGGTGGGAGGTGGAGCAGGGGCAGGAGGAACAGGATGGAGGAGACAGGGGGCGGCGACGACGTGGGCGAGGATCGGGAGCGTAAGGGTGACCCTCTGCACGGACCTGCGCCCTTGGACTTGGCCCCCCTGTCGCCCCAGGAAGCCGCGCTCCAAGGGTCATGCTTAAGTCAGGCACGTCCCTCTACAGGAGGAAAATTCAGACATAGTTATAAACATAGTCTGAGAACGATTTCTCTGTCATTTTTGAAACCGTTTTTGAGCATTTTGTCGATCATGCTTTTTGTCCTTCAAGCTCCGGGCTGTAGGAGGGCATGCCCGACCTAAGGTCACTCCTCCCCGGGGCCGCTCTTGCGTGCAGCCGAGGGCCGGCCAGGGGCCCAGGCTCTGGTCGAGGAGGCCAGCGCACGCGGGCGGCCAGCGCGGGATCTCGGGGCACTGAGCATCGAGGGCGGGGGGATGCCGGGGGGGGGGTGCGCCCGGAGGTCTCCAGGAGACGTCCGGGGACCTACCGGGAGGGAGAAAGGGCATCAGTAACACGTTGCCGCTTCGTTTCTTCGTTCCGTCAGCGTGAATTCGTTCGTTCCTGGCCGAAGGCATGCTTTTCCTCCAACTGGCGCGCTCACTGTTCTCCACGGCGGAACGGTCTTGACATTGTGTTTGCTCACCCAAACCATGGAGGATGTGGGCGGGGGGGTAAGGGTGGGAGGCAGATGAGTAGGTTCAGCGCTGGGCCACGGCGCGGCGAGTGTCCATCCGAACGCCAGGAGCGATGGCACCCCCCATTTGGCTTTCGAGCTTCTTTCCGTTCCTGTCTTTCCTCCTCCTCAGGTGTCGGTTTTTGCCCGCAGTGGGTGCGAACATCAGATGGTGTCAAACCGAGGGCATCGAACCACACCTGCCATCTTTTATGACACGTTCTGCGAGTCACACTCATGAGCGGTAAGCGAGGGAGGCGCGAATTGTTATCCTGGTTCCCCTCCTGTTTCTTCTTCTTCTTCTTCTTCTTCTTCTCCGCTTCCTGCTTCTTCTCCTCTCCCTCCTCCTCCTCCATGTCTGTCTCCTCCTCCTCCTCCTCCTCCTCCTCCTCCCGCTCCTCCTCCTCGTCCATATCCTCCTCCTCCTCCTCCTCCTCCTCCTCCTCCTCCTCCTCTTCCTCCTCCTCCTCCTCCTCCTCCTCCTCCTCACCCATCCTCTCCCAGGCCTCCTCCTCTCTTCATCCTTCCATCACCCGAACATCATACTCTTGACGCTCCGCGCATCTCCACTGCTCCGCCCGCCTTCCGCTTTCGCCTGCCTCTGTCTCCGCTTTGTAGCTTTCGCCACCCTCTTTTTGTCCCCTTTCCCGCGTCACACTTGCGACAGCAGGGCTTGCGCTACTCTTTCGACCTTATATGACGGCGCGCGGCTGGCCGCGTCGCTCGCGAGCAAAACGCATCCCCACTGCTCCACCCAGGAACGTCCGCCAGGCGACCTGCCTCGTTCAGGGGAGAGTAGGAGCATCCGGCGGAACAGCCTGGCGGGTCAGCCGCCACGCCCAGCTCGGAGCTGACCTGCGCAGCCTGCGCATATCTAGGCGTGGGCTCGCTGCGCCTGCTGTCGGAGGAGGCGGTTGTCAGCTCTCCCCAAGGCTTTGAGCCACTAGTGGCGTTTTATTCCTGCTCTTTTGGCCTCCACTTTTGTTTGTTGGTTTCGTTCTTGCGGCGCGCGCTGGACTCGCGCTCCGCACCCCGTTGTTCGTTACCGTTTTTGTCGGAGCCGGGCCTTATGGATTGGCCCCCTCTTTCTCGATGGGGATGGCTGCATCGCGGGCGCGCGCGTGCCCATTGCTGCGCATCTCGCTCACATGGTTCGCGGCCATGGCGGTTGCGCGGGGCGGGGCCGGGTGCATGCCCAACGGCATGCGCTTTCCATTATAGCGGCGGAGTTGTCTTGAACGCGTGGTCTCTAGTCTGGCGCGGTGTAAAGTTGCCCGCCAACGCCCTTCCGACAGTGTCAAACACCCGCAGGTGGCCATGCGCCGCCCCGCAGGCACTCGGAGGCCTCCGCCCAGCGTCGCGCCCAGAGGGCCGCGTAGTGAGTCTGGCGAGTGTTTCTCAGTCTTGCTGGTCGCGCTCGGCATCCTTGCGCGCGCTGACAAGGGGCGTTTTCTGCAAACCGCTGCCGGAGGCCCAGCGAGCCCCAACGCAAATTGAATTGATGAGGGAGCTTGAGCGCTTTCCAGCATAAGCAAGAACGTTAGGTTGCAGAGGGAAGCCTTGGCTACAGACGTCCGAAATGGATGCCTTGCCGGTGTTTCCATATATATATATAATATATATATATATATATATATATATATGTATATATATGTATATATAAATATATATGTGCATGGGCCAGTATAGTAATAACGCATGACTCCTATTCCAGCATCGATAATTATACATGTACGGGCTGTTATAGGAGACGATATGCACGGAACAGTATAGCACGACAGCTATGCACATTTTCCCGGCCGTCCATGTACGCAGAGGGCGTCTCTCGAACATTCCGTTTTGGATGAGCATTGCCTCGCGGGGTTCTCGTGTGGCTGTGCTATGCTCTCACGGGTTTCATGGGGGTCGCTCATCGGGCTCTAACGGGTCTCGTGGGGTTCGCTGGTCGGGTTCGTCGGGCTCTCACGGTCTCGGAGGGCCACAAAAAGATTCCCAAAAGGCCCTAAGAGGGCCCCCAGATGCACCCAAGAGAGCTGATCAGGACCCAAACAGGGCTCCGTGAGGGTCCCAAGAGGCCTTGGAGATGTGTCACGGCCGTGAACCATCTCGGGGCCCTCTCGAGACCTTATTGGCCCCCCCTCGGAGCTTTCTCGGGCCCTGCAAAGACGGCGGTGGAGGCCTCAAGAGGGCCCACCCCCGGAGGGGGCGGCCGCCCCCCCTTGCGCTGGGCTCCGGGGCGGCGGGCGGCCGGGACCGGTCACGCAGGGCCCGGGGCGCCCGCGGGGGCGCCCCCCCCCCCTGGGGGAGTGATGTTGCCGCCGTCGCCGGGGCACCTGGGCGACGGCGGCCGGAGGAGGGGGCAGGGCGGCTCCGGGGGCGCCGAGCTCCGGGGCGGCGGGCGACCGGGGCAGGTCATTCTGGGCCGGGGGCGCCCGGGGCACCCGCCTAGCATCCTATATTCCCTTTCTCATTTTGCATCCTACTCCTCTTGCGTCCTATCCCTCCTGCATCCTATTTTTCTTCCCCCTCCCTCGTCCTCCTCCTCCCCCTGCCTCCTCCTGCCTCCTCCTTCTCCTCCGGCTCCTCAGGGCACCAAGGGCCCCAGAGCATTCAGAGGGCTCTTGGGGTCCCCACTGCACTCCCCACTAGCGCCCCCACTAGCGCCCCACTAGCGACTGTCACTCGGTTCGTGGCCATGCCGAGTTGGCTTGAAGTCGAGTGCGAACTCGAGTGCAAAGTCCCGCGGAATATGTCACCTAGTGGGAACCCTAGTGGGCGCCCGCCCTAGTGGGGGCCTTAGTGGGGGCGGGGGCCCTAGTGGGCGCCCTAGTGGGTCCCTTAGTGGGCGCCCAAGTGGGCGCCTCAGTGGGCGCCCTAATGGGTCCCTAAGTGGGCGCCCTAGTGGGGCTTCAGTGGGTCCGCTACTGGGCCCTGGTGGGGCCTTAGGGAAATAGTGGAGGCCCTAGTAGGCGCCCTAGTGGTGGCCCTAGTGGGCGCCTTGGTGGGTCCGTTAGTGGGCGCCCTAGTGGGCGCCCTCGTGGGTCCCTTAGTGGGCGCCCTGGTGGGGCTTCAGTGGGTCCGCTACTGGGCCCTGGTGGGGACCCTGGTGGGGCCTTAGTGAGGGCCCTAGTGGGGCCCTAGTGGGGGCCCTAGTGGGGACCTCAGTGGGCGCCCTAGTGGGCGCCCTCGTGGGTCCCTTAGTGGGCGCCCTCGTGGGGATTCAGTGGGTCCGCTATTGGGCTGTAGTGGACGCCCTCCTGGAGAAGCCTCGTTGTTGCCTGGTGGGCTTCTGGATGCGAGCTCCGAGTGGCTTCGCCCAAGAGAGTCCGAAAGGGTTCAAGACCTACCGACGAGAACCCGACAGAGCCCAACGTGAAGAGGAAAATGAGAGAGGAGGAGCCCGACGGAGCCCGACAGAGCCTGACGAGAGGAGCAGGATGACAAGGAGAGAGGAGGAGGGAAGATGACAAGGGGAGATGAGGAGCCCGACGGGTCCCAATCGAGCCCCAAAGAGCTCAACGAGAGCCTCACGAGAGCCCCCGTGGAAGCCCGACGAGAGACCCACGAGAGCCATTCATACGAGACCCCGAGCGAACCCCGAGGAACGTCCTGCGAAAGCCCCGCAGGGGAACCCCATGAGAGCCCCACAGGAACCCCGCGAGAGCCCGATGAGCAAGCCCTACGTGACCCGTGAGAGCCCAACAACGCCCCGCGAACACCCCGCGAGGCAATGCTCGTCCAAAAGACAGCGCTCGAGAGGCAGGCAACGTACTTGGACGGTCGAGTAAACGTTACCACAATTGGGATACACTTGTGCATCGCTCTCGTTCTACACTGGCCCATGCACGTAGGTTCCTTTGCCCGCCCATCCCCGCATTTTTTTTATGCCGGCCGATGCTCAATGATGTGGCCTATGCCGGCCAATGTGTACATGCTAATACAGTGGCCCACGCATTTATCGTGCACGTCTTTGGCGAAGGCCCCTTCTGCGGCCGAATTTTTTGTACGTATTGAAGCACTGCCGACGGGTCGATGGGCCTTCGGCAGTCGTCTGCAGACAGCGACCCGTGTCAGAGCTCGCAGGGATGCCGAGGGCGACCGACGTAGCAGTGCAACACTCGCCAGACTCACCATGCGAGCTTCCTGGGGGGCGACACTGGGAGGAGGCCTCCCAGCGCCTGCAGGGCGG